GCCAAATTTTGCCAGATGATGTAAATATAACCAAGATCCGTAAATCCCCGACCGTGATTAGATTGATACCTTACGACGACAGGCTGCGGGAGGCTACCGATAGTCTGTCAAGAAAAGGACTAAAGCTTTTGTCATTGTCGTATAGATTTGGCTCCTTAGTATGCCCAATAAATTAGGCTTAATCCGTCTAAATCTGTAGAAAATGTGCTATAATTTATCAAAAGTATTTCATTCATACGACATTTTTCATAGACCCATTTGTTTAATAATAAGTGTTTAATTCACGAAATTACTAATTGATGTAGATTAACTTGGGTCATATAGACTTAAATATTTTTTGAACGGTTAAGGTTTCTTAAGGGTTGGCAACGCGCAGGTGACACTCCTCGTGTTTCAAGTGTCCATAGGCTACGGTAATCGTTTACAATCATATGAACCGCATGCTTGTTTGTAACCTACGTAGTATAAAAGAATATTATACAGTTTCTGCACAACTGGCTATTTAAAGTACCACCATATAATGTCTCACGTATATTGTAAAAAATATCCTGAATAAGTATAGAAAAATATATACTTACCTATTTCTGAGTATTTTCTTGCAAGATATTACTTTCTAAATAAAACCTGGGCACTCTAATGAGCAACGATTGCAATAAACTAGTTGAATGAACGTTGATTTAATTCCACCAGAGAAAGCGGAGCGTCGCAGGCTTGATATAATGCTCAACTAAATAACGTGGACACCCCTCTCCCCAAGCCTCCTTCTACCAACGGCTATCCCACACCCTACTTCCAGATTAATCTTCCACATGCCTCAATGTCATCTGCCGTTGCAAATGACGCAAAAAAATAATGATAAATAAGGGAGAAATGCGGAATATTTTACAGTTTTAACAAATCTGTTCATTAAAAATCTCTGCATTCATAAGATATGGAATACATTACTTTGTGTCATGTTTACATTCGCACTGGGTCTCTTAAAAGATATTCAGTGATGACTATACTATATACGATGAGTGATACTAACGGCCACTATTCTGAGCTTGGATCTTTTATATTCGTTTCATATATGAAATAAAATAACGAACAACAATATGTTTTTATAAAACATAATTAGTTAAATTATAGTAAAACAAATACCATCCAATTTGTACTTGTGCTCTATAGGTAAAAAAAATAAATTATAATTAAGTAAAGACTAAAGCGTATGCAAAAATATACTATCTAACATTGGTAAGTCATGGCTCAGATAAGAGAATATTACAGCGAAATGGCAAAACATTTAGTTGCTATTAAAATAAAATCGGTCCAGTGAGAAGCAATTTAAAAAATGACCGGCCAATTAAATAAAGTATACAGTACTCAGCCACATTTGAACAGTATGTCGACATTCCGATCGATTTGAATCAACGCCAGACCAATATTCAGCGGAGCGACAAATCAGCACTTCGATATTGCCTCCATTTGGGCACCCACCTCAATATATGGAAAATAAGATTTTTCATTGCACCCCCAAATGGTACACGTGAGAGAATTTAGAAAACACTCGCGGTTCAACCCGATTTCGCATGCAAACTAATAATATTTTTGAAAGAAAGAAAGAAAGAAAGAAAAATATTTTATTCAGTGCAATGTAAAAAATACAATATAAACAACAAACGGAAAAAAAAGAGCAAATAAAATGTACATATAATTAAACTTAATTTACCATAATTAAAAATAAACATAAAATAAACATTTTTTACATCCAATAATGCACTGAAATGGCTCCACTCAGCTTTAATGTATGTCCTAGGTGAACATACAGCTGGTTTTCAGTGGCACCAAAAATATATATATAAAAGGGGGGGAGAGAGAGGGCACTATTTAAAATATTAATGATAATAATTAAAACAAAATCACAACTATTACATACATACTAATCCCTCGCACAATCTATTATTACTGTATTGTACTTTGTAACATACCCAAAGACTTGTTTTCCCCAAACTTTAAAGATATAGGTTTTATTTGGAATTCCATTGTTTAGGAATATATTTAGGCAGCATCTTTCCTTAGTGTCAATAGAACTTCTTCAATAGAAAGTCTTCTTTTAAATAAAAAATGCCTATTCTAGTGTATACGCAACACATACCTATTTAACTAAAATCATATATTTTTTAATAAAAAATAAGTATTTATGTATGTTACTGGAATGGCATACAAGCTGATGGAAAGTGATAACTATTGCCTATATACATAAACAAAACCACGAACATTACTAAGTACAGTTTGACATCCATGTTACATGAGATACATGATCTCATGATACATTCCTAGGAACTATAGTATTAAAAATTTCATATATATATCACAAATTATGAAGTCCAAAGTGAATAATAATTAATAATTTATAATTAATATAAATATATATATATATTATTACAGTAAATTTCGATATTATTATTTAAAAAAGGTTCTCACTCCACAACGCTGTTCACTCGAAGTCCAAAATCCAATTAAATGAACAATTTCAACTTGTTAATAGGCCATTTATGGACTTACTGATGTTATTAAGAGATTTATTGATCAGAGCGAAAGTCACTTGAATGCCAAAAGTATATTTAAGATTATTATAGGGTTATTATCATTAAAGTTTACACATCGGAGTATTAAACTAATTTACATTTGAAGTACATTAATTATATCACGAATTATAATTAAAGTACTTACGACAATATCTATGTTACTTAAATTATGAGAAGAGTGACAATAAAAGCTATATTGTATTTATCTTACTAATATTATAAATGCGAAAGTTTGTGTGTATGGAATGATTGATGAATGGATGAATATTTGTTACTCTGTCATGCAAAAACTACGGAGCGGATTTATTAAAGTTTACAATAACATATTTTATACATTAGTATAATACATAGGCTATAAATTACATGCGGGTGAAACCGCGAGCACAGCTAGTGACTAATATTTTTGAGTTGTTATTTTTGAGTTCTAAATAAAATTAAAAAAAGCGCCAGATTCGCATATATTTTTCAAAACGTTATCTTCAATGTGAAATGAATTCTCTTCGATAAGAGTTCATATTACGTTGTATTATGCGTGGATCGTACTCAAGACCATTCAAGGATCAAGCTCTATGCTTAATCTCCAAACCACTAAGGCTGTCGTAGCGTTTGTTTTAGTAGCTATGCTGATTTAGATAAAAAAATCGTACTACACATAATTCAAATGACAGTATCGAAAATTATGCAATAACTGTAGCCAATTATATTTACTATATTATTAGGAGAGTAATATATGTATATTAACGTCGCGTCGTATAGAATTGAAATTCCCAGAGCCGCCTTTGTCTTGTAGCGTCGTGATTGCAGACACTAGGTAAGCACCAAGTTGAAATTAATATCGCGTATTTACCACCGAGCTGTATGGAAGCAACCAGATTATTGTCAAATTAATGCAAAGCCGTTTGTGAATTAAAACAGTGTTTATTCTCGCTGCTTTCGGTATCATTATTGGTACATATTTGAATTTATTTTCGAATACTAAACATGATACAGTTTCCATGCGATTTGAATACAATTAGTAATGTGAAATAATTTGCATGTGATGCAAGGCACTTATACTGACGTCATAATATTGTAATGAAATAATATCAATATTTAAACTTATTATACTTACTTCCATTTTTATTTTCCCATCAATACATTAGTGGCGCATATCTTTAAAATCATTTGAAATATATTATTTCAATTGTATAGTTAAAAAACATTTCTAAACAAACTAGAATTATTGATAGCTTTTCTACTAGTAACTTAGCAAGTTTAAATACTTTGCATCTTTGTCGATCTTTAATAGTGTGAACGAGTTAAAATTGTGTAAAATTATGTAAAAACCGCAAATTATTTTCTTAAATAATTTGCGGTTTTTACATAATTTTAGGGAGTTATATCGGTTACTTGCAAACTTACTGTAAATACGTTTTCAAAACCAAATTTTTGGTGAGCTTGCTATTTCAGGTAGGCCACAAAACTGGTACGTGAGCAATGCTTCCACCCCAAAAAGTTAACATTTACAGGGAAATTTGCCCACAGGTACCCACATCTCAAGCTTGCGATTACTATTATAAGACTAGCCATATTCTTAGACAGGCATGCTATTATGCTAAAGCATATTAAGAATAGGTCTTTATGTAACATTACATGAAGTACATATCTACTTAAATGAATAAAACTTATCATATACTTCTTTGTACGCGGAAGTTTATTATATTATTAGTTGATTTTAATCTACATTGAGTTCTTCGTTACTATTGTATCCGTATATATATATTAATTTCTTACATATGATAGACCCAGTTTCATAGGCTCCCATCGTGATAACGCACAGGCCAGGAATATCGAAACTGTCATAAGCGGCTTAAAGTGGCTCCCAATCTACGTTAAAGCGCTCCAGCTCTCTACTTACCTATATATTATATTGTTATAGTATCTACATACTACATTTGTGTGTCATATACACATACTCATAGTACTTAAGTAGGTATGTCAAACGAAGTTTATATTGAATTGTTAGTATTTGTTACTCGATGATAAAATTGTATAAGTGCAAGAATGTTTTAAATTTGGTAATTATGTCTTCATAAAATATTAGATAAACCTAATATACAAGAAATAATATCCCCTTTATATAATAACACTAGCTGACAACGCAACTTCGTCTGTATTACACTTACTTGACATTATTGTTTTATTTCGCTCAATTTACATAACATATTTTTGAAATTATAACTTATATGTTATTGGATCAGATTTATTTGCGTCAAAGAATACATCCATCTATCCAAACACACTCACAAACTTTCGCGCTTAAAATATTAGTAAGATATCTTTAGAAGGGTAAGTTAATAAAGACTAGTTTTATTTTTCTTAAATTATAATTACCTAGTAACAAAAGAACAATTTTATTAACTTTCTATATTAATAAAGTAGAAATAATGACTGTAGTTTAAGCAAACAAAACTTCGGACCTTTCTGCGATAATTCTCTTCGCATCCGGAAAATACGACAATATATTTATCCACGAGTCCAAACTTAATGTTAAAATACTAACCTGGAAAATAATTGCCTTTAATACAATATATATAAAACAAATTACTATAAATTACTATTATTTTAGAGCTGTATTGCAGTTCCGTGACTATACATAATATCAAAAAGATGTTTGTTCACTTATTAGTGTTACCACTTGCATAAAAGTTCACTATTTAAACATGTTTTTTTTAATGTGAGTACCTACCAATAATACAGACCGGTTTTTTTAAACTGCGATGGCGGTAAACAAGCATACGCCCCATCTGCAGGTAAAAGTTGACCATAGCCTATGGACACTAGAGATCTTAGCCTCCTGTTAATGGCAAGGAGATAATACTACTCAAGGACCATTGCAACTTATGAGATAATAACACCTTTTTAACAGTAATATCTTAAACTGTGAATTAAGATATTTGTAATGTGTTATTCAATAATATCACTGCCATGATATATCTATTTATCTAGGAATATAGAACATAAACTATTTGCTTATTGGCAGAATTAATGGGAGATAGAGATATACACCAGAACAGCATTGTACTACATTTTCCAGTATAGAATCTGCTGTAATGGTAGACATGTACCCACAAATATCTATCCATTGAATTCGTTTATAACAAACACCGCTCACCTTCGTCTCAGCTCTATATGAAAAGCAATGCGCGACCCCTCTATTCATCCCCTGTAGTATTCCAAACACATCCCCCGTGTTGAGATACTCGTGAGTGGTCTCAGTTAGGTCAGCTCGTACTGACACTACTGATACTGTACCTGACGCCACCCAGTACATACGGGCCTCACTGTCACCAGCTACTAATATGTAGTTACCTGCAATTTAGTAATATTGTTAATTAACTTAATACAATTAAATTTCTACATTTAAAATCGCTTTTAGGTCTTTGATCGTAAACTAAATATAATATATTGGAATTCTCATTAAATTATTAAAATAAATCAAGAAATAATATAAAAAAGTATAATTTTCTAGACTCGGCACCACGCGTCACAGGTAAATACGCAGTATGTGGATGTTCTTCCTTAACTAACTTTAGCTTCTCAGTGTTGGACAAAGTGTCTTTTTACAAATGGACCTGTTTCCTACTGTTTACCATGCTGGAGTTTAGCAATTTATAGATTTCTATTTATAGCGTACATTGCCACCTGAAACTGTTACCACATGTTAAGCCCACATAAAATACATACCGGGAAAGAATATAGTATAATCCAATACAGCAGATAGTTGCCGTATAAACGGCTCTCCCGTGTCTGAGAAGAGATAACAATTTCTCAAATGGTGACCGAACATTGCTGACATTAAATCGCATCGTCGCACGTACGGGATTTGTTCCAGGAGTACAGGCAACTAAAGAAAACATAGATAACGCTTTAAAAATGAGTGATAACAGAATGATGCCTGGTACACCATGTCACGCTATCATGTGCTAACGATATACAAAGACATCATCCAGGGGCATCCGTGGACGATAAATGATGAGCATGAAGTCAGTTCTCACATCGTCGCAAATTTACGAGGACTTAAACACTCCATAAGAATAATAATAGTTATTAGTTTTGTTCTATTCTTCTGAAGCCTCATTATCATAACTACAATACAATACTACAATAATTTTATATTTTATATTACACTTTTATCCTCTATCTATTTTACGCATTTTACTATACCACAGATTCGATTTTGATTCTTTTTTGAATACATTTAAATGGAATTTAGAACAAGAAAATATATAAGTCAAATTACTAATCTCAGTGGAGCTGCTATGAGAAATGTTGCTTAATTGAGAAAAGTGTGACGCAGACGAAGTGGCACGGACACGTAGACCTATATATATGACCACAAGATTGTGCACTTCATTAAATTCAATAATACGTTATAGTACAGAACACAATTTATAGACAGTTCACAATCTTGCAAGAGTGAATATTAACTAACGGAGTTCACGATCTTATGGTGACATACTAAAAACATTGAACCTAATTGACAACCTACTAATATTTTGTGTAGAGAATACGTACTAATTACTATGAGTAGATATTTTTTTTTATATAAAAAACATTTAATACAATCACCTGACGTCCACGTTCTGTTATCCAAAGTTGACATACATAATTCCAAAATTTCTTTAATTGATAATCTAGAAATAAATATTCACAATCAATGTTATAGTTATTAAAACTACACAAAAAATTCTATGCCATCATATGATTTGATACAATGACATTTCGATGCGTTGACCTATTGAACAACCTATTCTAATTAATGATAAGTTTAGTTTAATTTCATTTAGTACCTATAGATATTTTGTCACAGGTCAAGAAGGTGATGGAAATTTAATACATATTATATATTAAACATACCCGATAATCCCTGATTTTTTAACATATCAATGAGCTCAAGCGTTACTTTTTCATAACAATTCAAAGCGTATTTGGTAGAGTATGCAATTTGTATAGACGTGGCAACTACCACGGCGGCAAGCATCTTGCCACACACCAGGCATATGGCTAAAATAATCGTAGGCAAAATTTCATCTATAACAAACTCGTCACCACCAGAAGTGGTTAGTTCTGAGAGGACCACGTAGAATGATGTTGTATAGTCCCAATGTTTTTGCGGCGTTTCTCTGCAATTAGTGCTACTATCAATTTAATAGTTGAAATATTATTTATCAACTCATTTATTGAAGTCACATATTGTATTTGTATACAAGTATAAAACTTCAATAAATTTATATTGAAAACATAACGCAAACAATACACTGCAACAAGAATTTTGTAATCTTTCCTTATAAACTAGATACTTTTGCCACTTATATCAACTATTGTTCTAAAAATACATATATTTTAAAAATAATCCGTAACTATTTTATTGTGCATAAATTACTGTCTTACGTTGCTATTTATAATTTTCTTTTTAACTTATTTTATGTGTTGTTAAAATAAGTGGAAACCTTAGGTAATACATGTCATTTTTATTTACAAATATATCCCAAAACAAAACATTAAGTACACGTTTAAAAAGTACTTGAGTTCAACTGAGAACCTTCTTTTTTTAAAAGGTCTAAATTTCCAAGATACCGCTATAGGATAGTCAACAATTACGAGAATTTCTAAGATAGGTTTATAGAATGTCGAAACTGTGTTTTATTGTTGAATGAGTATTGTCAACTGAGCACGATACCTTTTTAAGGTATCCTGTATAGCTTTAGTTTTCTTTTGTTACAAATAAATACTTCACATTTACGTATTCCTTTTACTTAAAGAATAAACAGGTACTGTCGTATTTTCATTATTCAGAAGCCAGATATTTTTCTTTTACCTTTTACTTTCTTCTTTTAGATTTTTGTTTTACGTTAAATAAACTACATGTATATATTTTCACAAAAATAAATAAAAATTAAAAATAAATGTATGTTCGTATAGTGAATATAATAATATTAAGTTTTTTTTTATTCATCGTTATTAGTGTTTTAAGATTCTTTTTCAAAATAAAAAAATAATATATAATTCTAAATATAATAAAAAAATAATCAAATCAATTAATGCTCTCTACTTCCATATTAGTAATACGTAGTAGTACAGATATTCCGAAAATTAGACAAAGTTTTGTGTTTTATAATATTTAAAATTGAAATGCAGATTATATTATTCTTTTAAAGGCAAAAATGAATATTTTTGTTTTCGAACCGCTGCAGAAGTATGATACAAATATTTATGTTATTGATAATTCTGCATAAACTGCAGATATTATTTTAGTAATTGTCAAAATCTAGTACTATTTTGGTCAAAATAAAGTTCTGAATTAATTTGTTAATTACATAACAAGACCGCGGTACGTGGAGGTTTAAAGTTTTGGCACACCCTTCTTGAGATAGACTCGGGTTAAATTTTTGATATTTAGTATTTATGAATGCAATCCTTTGTACCATATTGGATGTTTTGAATGTTAAAAAAAATCCATCAGTAATGTAATATACATAGTACAAGCTCTTATTGTTTGAGACTAGATGGCACAGTATGATATTAGCATACTGTGCCATTATTATTATTACGGTATCATATTATCTATAACTATACATACTCGTCAATAAGATGCATTTTCAGTGGTCGGATGATACTGATAGGCGATGTAGCAATCATTGCAATCAACCACAAGCAAGTGAACGAATGTATCAGTAAGATCACAATTATAATTGTCATCACCGCCTGAAATATATGCGTGTTTATTGTATCGTATGATTGGTTCTTAAATAATATTTGAATAACAGAAATTACTTATCCAGCGAACTAGGCGTACAATTTAAATGATGTTTTGATGAGATTGTTCATCAGAAGATTAATATAGACATACTGTACTCGTATGTCAGTATATATACACAATCAACAATATCAGATGTAATGAAAGTAAATATATACTGGTCTGAGCAATAAATAAATACACATAACACAAGCACACCTAGACAAGTTATCAAAAAGTAAGAATTATAATAATAATTTGTTTAATAAGACTTCAATCTCTTTACTAAATATTTAATATTTTTATTTTAATAAAAGCTATAGATAATATAAATTAAAATATAATTTAAGTATTAGTTAAAAGGATACCTGCAAAGTGGTAAGATTATTGGTGAGCTCTGAAGCTGTTTTATGATAGAACTCTACGAGGTATTTTAGCCTTAGCAATTTATTAGCTCGTAAGTAATGCATCGCCGTTATAGGAAACCTTGGAAATTTCAATATTTTACCATTAAATAGTTTCAATATTGATTATTTTGTATCATAATTAAGAAAATACTGAATAAAATCCATTTGACCTTTTGTTGACAACTGTGTTGATGAACTGAAATACTTCTTATTTCAATATTGTTACTTAAATTATTCGTAGTTAATTAGGTAAGCTAATTCTTTATTATTATAAGAGAAACATAGACTACTAACTACTACTCAGACTACTTCATTACTTAAATTTGTCTTGAGATCAGATGCTACGTACATCAAACTATTATCGAATTTCAGTCCGCATAATTTTAATCAATTCTGATTAATGGATCTCTTCTTCAAGTTGTTTTCGAGAATATAACAGAAAATTCCCAGTATTTAATATATAATATAAGTAATATTAAATTCTGGAATATTTAACTTAATAAGGAATTTCTACCAACATCAAATCAGAACATAGGTATCTAAATGTACTAAAAAGTGAAGTCCTAAATCACATATAAAAATAAAAAAGTGACCCTGAACAATTCACACAGCACCATCTAATCCCAAGCTAAGCAGAACTTGTGTTATGGGTCCCAGAAAACTGATTTAAATACATAGATACATTTTTTTTTGTATATACAATACACATATATAAAACTCAGGTCAATAAAAGTACTCACGATTACAAATGTTTGCATCGTGTAACAAATCAAACCCGCAACCATCAAATGTAAAGCGGTGTGCTTAACTGCTAGACCACTGAGGCATTCAATAACAGAATAGACTTACGAAAAACAAAATCCGAATAGTTCTAATGGCAAGTTCACTAAAATATCTGACAAAATCCATAATTTGTGCTTATAATATCTTCTCCTACACTTTACTGGATCCAGTATAAGATCTCCATGTTTATTAATATAGCCCTGAAATTATAAAGTATCTATATCTTTTTTTGACACAAGGAATTTAAAATAGAAGGTCTTTAAGAAATTTGAGTAAGGGGAATCATCTTAGTATGTGGTACCTATGGCTAAATATGTCTCCAGAGGTAGATATATATCAGCCATCAAAGAGTCTTGTTTTGGGCACTGACTTTCGATTGAAATGTGACAGTTATAAGGTAGAAATGATATGTTCAGAGGCATGCAACATTAGTCCTCTTCAATGGTAACGCATGAGTACCGCGGGCGTCATACGATAACGTTACGCCGTAATGAATTTTATGTATGTAGGCAATGGTAAACTATCAGGTAAACCGTAAGTTTATATACCATTCCAATTACAAAAAAAAAAAATAAAGTATTATAATATACTAGGAGTATATTATAATAAATAATTACTATATATGGCATTGTATATTACCTAAGTAAATTTGTTGAAACTAAAAATGACTATATAATTACCTGGTGCAAGTTTAGATAAGTTTTTAGGTAAAAATACATGTCAAAAATCGTTTGAATCCAAAATATTATGTAACAATCATTCAAAGTAACAAGTTCATAAAGACCAAGGACATAATTAGAAGTTGCCATCAAACAAGTGAAATATCCAAAAGTCTGCAAGAAACACTCAATTATCCATTGCATTAAAAAGCCAATGGTCAGATTTAGAAACCATTTTCATGCTACTAAAAACATCTCAATAAATCACTTATAAATTAATCTTTACATCATCAAATCTAAACCTACCTATCAGATATATATAAGATGGCCGACATACAGTATTATAAGTATCTTCAGTCGATGCTGAAGTTTTTACAGTAGAAACTATAGTGTTCTTAGCGAATACTCGTGTATTGTATTATTTATTTTTATTTTACTGTACAATAAAAAATATTTTCTTGGAGTCAATAGAAACACAAACATAAACAAAGAGATAACAAATATTGACTCGTATAATATTATTAATACTCGTATTTAGATAACTGGCGCTTGGTGACAGAATGAACACAACCGCTGTACGTGGCCTTCCTTTTATTATGATTACAATCCTCACAAACAGATATGTGTTATCTGTTATCCCGAAATACAAATATAGAACTAATTAACATGGCATCGTATTTACCTGGAACAGCCACGTGCCGGGTCGTAGTAAATTAGAGACATCCATGTAACCATGGTATGTCATTACGCTGGCCGAAGACTTTGCTTGGCTCACATTCGATTGTGATTGTGCGCTACGTAGAGTCATTGGACCTGTGTTCAAAATGTAGGACACAATTATTTTACAACCGAATGTAAAAAGGAAAGAAAGTTATAATTGTGAATAACAGTCGATGTCTTTATCGAAATTAAATTTCCTTTTGGTTGTATATATAATAAGATAATATTTTTCATTTATATTGAAGCTTTTTATTAGTTATGAGTTATGTTATGTACAATTTTATTTCTTCATTTTGACTTCTGTAGTAAATCACTGTTCACCAATCAATGTTGTTCAAAATATTATTTTTCATTTTATTACCTACTAATACTTACGTTGGTAAGTATGGCCGATTTAGTATCTGCCCATGTACGTATAATAATAATACTATGATAATATATATAATACTGTGACTATATTGCAGGTTGTAATTGTGTGTAAAGTAGCGAACCTAAAACAGTACACAAACAAGTCGTTGGTAGCAGACTACGACAAATCGCCTGGGTAATAAGCATGCACCTCTGTTTAACCTATTAATTCTACAACCAGTCGCTTGTTTGTATGCTGTATTCCGGTTTGAATATTTTAAGAACTTTGTCAATTAATTGCAGAGCTCATTCTTAATATTAGAAATTTATAACTACAGCAGCACACTAAAGTTTTAAATAATAATTTCAAGAAAATTAACACAACACCATCGATACCCAAGTTAAGCTAGCTAAAGCCCGTGTTGGGTGTGTTTTGTGTTTTGTTCTAGTACCTAGATAACTGATACAAATACATAGATATTTTTTTTCGTAAATACAAACATATTATACATAGAAAACACCTATACCGACACAAACACAAATATTGTGTCGTGCGAGGAATCGAACCCGCGATTATCGGAAGCAAAGCGGTAAACCGCTAGACCACCGAGGTCGTCGAAATTCCAATTTCAATATTATTATGAGGCAAATCACACAATTTTTTATCAGATATGAGTATATTGGTATATTTCGATCTTTGGTTACAATATAGAATTGTATACAAAATGAAATATATACACTATTTACCGTAAGCATAATATTACTTAAATTAATTGGAATAAATACTTCTAAATTTCAAGCAATTAGTATAAATTTCAATAGAAAGAGAATTTCAATTATAGTCTGTTATTTTTTAGTATTCAGCTTTTATTCCTTTATATTATTTCAAGGGACTTTTGACCTTTTGTTCTTACAAATATTATTTTAAGTAATGGAAAATCGTAAGACAATGCTGACAAGTGTCTAGTATGTAAAGAATATTTAAATATAGGTACGGTATTTAGTAAAAGATATACTTGGTTAGAACACCACCTAATAAATACGCATGAACGGATTTGGGCGTTAAGTACGAAAGATTTTGCAAATCGCTGTAAATTTATACTTCATATCATAAATTGAATAAATAAAATTATTATTATATTATATAACTAGCTACTCTTCTACTACTTCGCTCGGGTGTACATACATAGGGACGGACAGACAGCGACAGCGACTTTGTGTTACACTATGTAATGATGATGATTAACTTTTATTTTTATTACAATTTAATAGTAAATTAAATATGTTAATGTAATTAGAATTGCAGACAAATATACGTTCTTTTTTGGATTAATCTAAACCCGTTGCCGTAGCTGGCCTCTACGAATACAGCTTCATCGAACGAACGTGGAATTTAATACAGAGAGCATTACAAATCTACGTAAAGATTTATAGTATACAGCGACTGAAGGTCAATTTCTGTTGGAATGAATCCCGACACTTTTACATGAACAGACACATTTCAGACACACATCACAGTGTACAGTTAGTGGCATAAACAGGTAAGATTGAGGTACACCGTACCACGTGGGCGACTTTGTACAAAGTGTACCTATATTTAAGTAATAAAAGGATAAATACCCGATATATCAACTCTACTAGAACCGCTTCTTGAATCAACAGCTGATTCTAGAGAAAGTAAATCGACTTCTGAATTTTCTGAAAGAGATTAAAAGAATTACAATAAATCATTAAATATATTGGTAAAGCTTCCAATATTATCACTAACCGTAATTACCTATTAAAAAGTAAAATAGCACCTTTATTTATTTACCTCACTTAGAAAATATTTATCGTATTTCCTTTTAATAATTATAGTTTATTGGGAATATTAAGAAACATTTATTTTGTGCTTTAGGCATCTATATGATACGGTAACCGTCTACCATAAGGTAATCCGTATATTTGATTGCGGTCACTGCGGTATAAAAAATTAAATTTCAGGATAAGAGCCATGATATTATGGCGCTTATCCTGCAATCCTTTATATCCTTCAGCGGATGAGTGGTATCGCGTGTCTCATTCGATAACACGATTTCCGTAGTGCTGTTCATGTATATTGGCAACTATCACCGCCTACCATCGGGAGGGCCGTCAGCCTATTCGCCATTACAAGTACATACATAGTAATATTATTTTTTAACATTTCTTTTTTGCACCAGTTATTACCCACTCAGTATCACCTACGCCACTGTTTTAGGTTGACTGCAAGAGATCTCTTCTTGATGTAAGTCTACCTTTGCTCACATTGTCTCTAAATTATAGTATCAATGTATTATCTGTGCAACAAAGTATATATAAAATAAATAGGCAGTCATTAACCTGAAGAGCTATCGTCATCGACTTCCATCGTTATAGGTAATATGTAATCTTTGGATACATTAAACGCTTTGGTAAGAGGTTCTTGTATTTTAGGGTAGTATTTGATGAGATTGAAGAACGTCTGTCCCGGAATGACCAGAAGATCTAAACTTCGACTCGCGTAAATGGTTACAGCGGAACATGACACTGGTTGCTAGAAAGAAGTAGTTAGGAAATTAATAAATTATAAATTAATATTATTTCTTCTGTTACTTAAACTTTAAAACTTATTATCCTTTGATATTTCTTCAAACTGTATGTCTGTAGAAATATCAAAGAATAACAAGTAAGAAGAAAAATTACTTCTAGTAGTAGAAGTCTATACAAGTAAGACTTATGTATAATAGATATATATATTATTTAAGTTATTCGTAAAAATCTACTCGTATATTATACTTACACCACTAAAGTTACCAAACATACCACCTGGTCCCATACATGTAATCATTTCGTTATAAGATGTCAAAACATCCACCTTAAATAAGAAAAATGTATTAAATTTAAGGGCAGTATGAATTAACAATTATAATAATATATCCTTGACGGCCTCGGTGGTCAAGCGGTTTAGCACATCGCTTTACTTCCGAAGGTCGCGGGTCCGAGTCCTCGCACAGTGCAAACATTTGTATCCTATGTATACATGTATTTACAAATTAAAGTAGTTATTAGTATTTATATCAGTTGTCTAGTACCCATAACACAAGCTTGAGTTATGGGTACATAGGACTAGATAGCGCTATATTAATTGTCCAGAGTTACTCATTTATTTTATCCACATAAAATATATATAAACTATAAAATTCACAATCCGAACTAAAGTCAGCCTTCTTTATAATATCCATTTTAATATAAAAATATATAAAACACACTTGGCTAATGTTTGCATTAGGTAATATGATAATTTTTTATTACCTTTCCCCTATATATGATGTAAATATAGGGCTGTACATCCAAAACTTGTATGACAGTTTCGCCTTTAAGAAAGTACATTTCATGTAGATGCTGTGTGATAACCCTGATGAAGGATCGCTCCACTTTCCCAAAAAGGGGCACTTCGCGTAATGCTCTCTCGTACATGAACACTAACGTATCTTCCATAAGAGCAGAGTTTAGACAGCGACAAATTTGCTAAAGCAAATCATAATATTATTAACATAAATTTAAATGTAATGAATGACCTCTTTCTGTTTATTGTATATTATTTATTAAATTTTCACGAATATAGCACATGTGTTTTTTATATAGATAGTGATAGGTTAGTTAGTAAATATAGATACGGTATTTTGTAAAAGATATACTCTGTTAGAACACCACATGTGTTTATTAAACACGCCTGAACGGATTTGAGCGTTAAGTACGAAAGATTCTGCAAATCGCTGTAGATTTATCTTTCTCACTCATATCAAAAATTTAATAAATAAAATTATTATTATATTATATAACTAGCTACTCGCCCCGGCTTCGCCCGGGTGTACATATATTAAAGCAAATCATAATATTATTAACATATATTTAAATGTAATGAAAGACCTCTTTTAAATTTTCATGAATGTAGTACATGTGTTTTTTATATAGATAGTGATAGGTTAGTGCACCCACATGTGCTATATATGCTAGCGGGGTATCAGCATTAGAATACCACGATGAACATGGAGTTAGCCCATGGTAGTGAATTTATAAAAAAATACCGCGATTGTTGTACAGGAGGGTTGCATGATCGATCATATATGGTACATCACTATCCCTGTTACTAACAATCCCCTATCTTTATATTTAATTCTGGATGCAACATATGTACTAGAAGAACACAATATACATGGTTTCAAAAGGACATAAAAAACTACACGGGACACACTACATATATAAAAGGAAGGTGAATAATGCGGGAGCAAAGAGCGAGAACGGTTCATAGTTGCTGTTCATAATATTATGTATGTACTAATATTCTCGTGACACAGAGTGTGCTACATTGGAGAAACACTGCTGTTCTTTTATTTTTAAATAGTAGTAATTAGTTGGGTGTAAGATTCCTCTTTTTTGCCCAAACAGACATGCAATTAAGAATAAATATATTATTTCTTATAAATTGTGATAGAATATCAATCTTACTTAGAAATACTGCTATAGTAATCACTTTTGGTAATATTGTCTAAAAGCAAATCTTTGGATTTTGCAGAAAGTAACTGCCATGGCTTATCATAATTTAGACAGAAAGTCAGAAACGGTTGTATAACATTCGAAGAACTGAATAATGTACAATCCGGGTTATAATTTATTAACAACCTCATAAACTAACAGTCCCCTCAACGAATTACGTTGATTAGGTGTTACGTTTATCAAATATTCTGACACAGACGCCGGTCCGGGGTTGGGCGGCGAAAAGGGCTAGGCGGTTCTTGTGGTATTATTTGAATTACATCGAAGCATGGAGTTGTAACAAAGTTGTTTTAATATAAAAAATATGTATATTTGTCTGCAGTAATAGGTATTGCACAAACTTCTCAGGCTAATGATGGTGCATAGCAAACTATGAGTATATACGTCAGATATCATATATATACAGAGAAAGCTACTATATTATACTTATAGTACACTGAAATGTCAACTCATGAGTCATCACATGATAACGTGATAGTATGTTGGTGCTATTTATGTATATAGGCTACGGTTATAGCTTACCCTACCCTATTGTCCGGTGAAAATGTAAAGGCCAGTTGCAGCCAACACAAACCCGAAAAAACCGAACGGACAGGACACGGTCGTTCGTTCATTAGTACATAAAAAACTCTATAAAGATCAGTCTTCACTATGCAGTCATGTTATGTTCCTCATTATTTCCCACTTCCAATGATATAAAAATGTTTTTTTCCAATCCTCTTATACATAAGAATTTCGTAAAGTGTATTACAATTATTTAAAAACCTGAGCATTGCTTCCATTAGTCCTTTTCCACACATATTCAAAATACTTCAGAGTTTTCGCCGTTAGGATGGGGTCAACATTCTCTTGGTACAGAAAGTTCGCCAAATCTCTTGTTTTTTCCTATGAAATATATAGGAACAGTGCTCATTAAAACTAAACTAATTACTGCAGCAGCCGTAATATTTGAAATGGCGAAAGTTTTTCCATCCGAAGAAGGTATTTATGTTATAAATACTTGCTACTTTTTTAGTTACTTCTTCATATTCTGCATATTCTCGTCTAATTATTACATAATGTTGATTTTTTTTTATGGAAGGTGCTCTCGCCCGCGCTGATGATATACCCTGGCCGTACACTATTTGAGGAAGGTAGGATGACCATGAAATCTAGTCAGTTAGCTCATCGTGATGAATTCTCCAGAAATTTACCGAGGAGATAGACCTAACAGTAAACATACCTCACATTAGTTGTCCTGTTACCCTTTTAGTTCATATAATGTTATTGGAAGAGATCTCTTCTATGGAAATATCGATCTTTGCTCACATTGACGGCTACTGACTGACTATATTTGACAAAAATGCAATAGAATATGCTGGTGTCACTAGATTTTCCCTAATTGAATTTAAATTCAAAAATATAGATTCATATTTAAATATGAATCAGAGTTTTTGTAATCGTGTACAAGCTCATTTGATAATAATAAAAGTTTAGTTTCTTGTCAATATTTCTAAGGTCGAAAGTACTCCAAACTCACATATTTTGTCATATCACAAGAATCTTTAGTAGACAATGAATAAAGATATTTTGGTTTGTGTACTTTATACTCACAGTATGCTCTAACATCGCATGTGCGGCAGCTGACCGAGTGGATGATACATAACCAAACATTAATGCAAAATACAGGAAGCCTGTGATTTGAAGAATCATAGTCAGCCATACATCCACAGTATTCGACATTCCCACAGGAGTACAGCCGCATCCTGTACAGATGATAATGGACAAAGTTTACTTTCAGTATTAATAATAATATAGGTATAGATAGACAGAAATTTAGGATTTTTCCCTGAAACCTTACAGAGTAGTACAATATATTTTTTTACCATTTTAGCAAATAAAAAATTACGGTACCTTACATAATGATACAATAAATGTAGATATAATGAGCAAAGGAAGACTAATTTTAACTTCTCTATCTGATGTTATATAAATAATGCCTATTGAAAGACGTAAAATTGTAACCGATGCTTCGCATGGCGTCGAATAGAAAGGCAAATTATTATTGTATTAAGATAACTCACATAGGCTCGTGATCAAAGAAGATTTATTTTTCTTAGGATTCGTACTTAGACTCAATATATAGAGTATGATATGTGTCATTATATAATTTAATAAATCAATCACTTTGTCATTATTAAACACATCTAATTACAGTCGATAATTTATGAAAACCCTGTTTGCTCAATATTATAATATGTATATGAACTAGTAATTGAATATCGCTGGATATAGGTATAATTACTTGATAATATACAGCGATACTCCATTATAACATCCATCAGAAACTGTCATGTAATATTCTAATATAATTACGAGTCGGTAAGTTGCTATAAACAGCTGTATTCTATTTGAACATTAGGATATATTATATGTCAGATATAGTTATAATAATTAATTATTATTACCAACAAACATTTCGAATACCCAGTAAAATGTATGAGCATATTCTGTTACCGCATCTGAAAATTTTCAATAGCAACATCAATCAACATCCTTATTAAGATCAGGCTTTCCGTTTATTATTATGGTATGAAGTAAATGTTCAGCTACAATACAATAAGGTAGTCATTTACGAGCATTGTATTATAGAACAATATCATATAGAATACAAACCATTTAACTATAAGCCATTTTGAGTACGGAATTTTTTATAATTAATTCTATGCCATTTTACAGTCTACTGGGAACGATATTCAGCGGTTATCAAACCTAAACTAACATATCAGACATAAACTTTATATTACAAGCACAATTTTGTCTTAATATAAATAAGGTACAAAATGACACAGAACTATAAAATATATAATAAACAAAAAGTCATATTTTTACTATTAAAATTCAAGAGTAATTTGATTATTAAATTTATTGTCAACCGAATATTATAGCTTTGGCGTGATTGAGATATATCAACGTACAGTATAACCACAAGTTATAGCAAGTAATGAATAAAAAAGAAATAATCCAAATGAAATTTAAAACAGAAAATAAAATAAATAAATATACCACCATGACTGTTATCCTAGACGGGACAGTCAGTTGCAATATCAACTGTCGATGTCATAGTAAATGCAACACTTGATTTGTCCACATTTCACCTAGTCAGTACATTTTAATTCAACGTGACAGATGGCGAGTCTGTCGAAGTCTTTTGGATTAGTTATAGTTTTAATAACGCTGTTTCTTTTATTAAAAAACAACTTATAGATTAACGTTAATTATAAGATAATATAGAGAAACGTTTTAAAATTAGAGACAAACTTACATCTAACTTCATATTTGCTCCTCGAAACTATTAAAACTCTCGAACAATTAACAAGAATAAAATTATAATCTGTGGTCAAATATGGCATACAAGAGTGAGTAAATATGATCGAAGTGGCGATATTAACTATCGTTATTGCAATCGGCAAGAACTTTAATAATACCATCATTGTATTTAAACGCATTATATCACTCTCCCAGTATGAAAAAGCTCCTATTATTCTAGTAACCTGAAATATAATTATGTTAATTAAATATATAAAACATTCTGGACGCCGTGCCTCTTTCTGTTGTCAAGCAGATTGCTTTGAAAGCAGCGTTTCGATTGTAATGAAGTAAAATTGCAATAGGCAGTTTAGAGACTTAACAGCAATGCATGAGGGGGTATCATATACGTCTTAATCTATTTTTGCTGTCCCTGATACTGTTTATGTTTACCGCAAACCAATTTATATTATATTAAACGAGCTGTATGTTGTATTAAAATAGTTTTAATTGTAATTAAAATTTTAATTTTTAATTGTAAATGTAAATTAGTTCATGTAACTGTATCAGTAGTTTAATACACATATAATTGTTATTGATTCATATTATACTTATTATTATTTTCCTTCTTCAATATATGTTTGTTTTTTTTTTTAGTTTTCTCCTGTATGCATATTATCTATCTGTTCATTTTTCAATCCGTTTCCCTAAGGTTGCCTTGAAAAAATTGCTTTCAGCAATAAAGCCACCTTATTGTAACTATACATGTTGTCCTTTAATACATTGTTTATGCCTTTTTCTTTACTGTGTGTTACAAATAAAGTATATTCTATCTATCTATCTAAAATATAAAAAAAATACCTTTGCGAGGAATAAATCGAAGGAACTTATGTGTTATGAAGGAACTTATATCTTACCTATATCAGGTTCTAGGAACAGTATTTCAGTTGTAGGGTGGTGATAACAATCCTGTGGAATGGCAACGCATGAGTATTATCGCTAGTGTAACATGATAACGTGATGTCCCTAGTGTTATTCATGCATATAGGCTAAGGTTACTGCTTACAATGTGATAAACCATCAGTTTGTTAACCATTCCGATGATATAAAAAAAACACAGTAATTTTCTTAAACAACTCTTGCCAAGCAAAAGGAAATGTATTTTATATTTTACCAAGACTTACCAACAACATACGATTCATTCTATACAAGTCCAAGTCAGTATTATCATTTATGATTTTAACCTATAAAAAATAATAATAAGCCTTAATAAATCACACAGCGCCATCTAGTCCCAAGCTAACCAGAGCTTGTGTTAAAGGTACTAGACAAGTAATATAGAACGAAATATACTTTTTTGTAAATACATAAAAGAAATAAAAATAAATCGATATAAACATTCATACTCATTAATACAAATGTTGACATCTTGCGAGGAATCAAAACCCACGACTATCGAATTTAAAGCGATATGCTAGACCAGCGAGATCGTCTTAATATATTAGGCATTTATTTAATATACACCAAACATAGTCAGATTAACCTTTACGAAAGACTTAACAAGTCAACAAGCGTTAGTAATTCTAATAAACTGAGTATACAAGTCCTTACTAACATAAATGTGGAAATTAGTTTAATGTAATTAACAAAATTATCATATTGTATTAATGAAGCGATGGCATATGCGAATACATAGGTTGTATAGTTCATTGGTAAGTATATATTCTTATATTTAAAATTGAAGATAATCAGTACATACCTACATGATACCTATGTGCATATATGCCATATCTTGTATGGTTCCCTCTTTATTTATAAATCAAAGGTAGCATTAAAATAAATAAAACGGCACGTAAACACATTACACAGAAAAAATAATGGACATTTAATCACTAGAAGCGATCTCTTTCAGGCAACCCTTTGCACAGTGCTGTGTGCTTGTTTATTTCCGCAATCATCTGTTATCGTTTTTGATGAGTTGTGGAAACGAAGTAGACATAGTAAACAGTGTGGATAGCTCAGTCCCACCAATTTGAAATGCCAATCAGCTTACTTTATAAGCTATTTAGATTGAAAGGTGAAAAAAATACATAATGCTTCGCTCTACAAAACAGTTAAAATGTCAATACATTTATTTCAGGTTCAACCACAACAAATAGGGCAAAATATATGGTAATATGAGATAGAAATAGAAAAGTGCAAGTCCAACGTTACAATAGAGAAAAGGCTATTATTACCAATTGTTCGAACGGAAAAATGCTGATAGCATCGAGAAAAAAAGCATGTTTCAAATATCGAGAGGCGGTGAGTAGGGGGTGGGTGACCAACAAAGAATGCTCGTTGTAGTATGCTACGTATCCCATTACTACTACGTCTATGTAGAGTACTATATCAGTCCAATTGTATCCACCTCCGTGCTTGTTCTGTTTCGTCTGTAAAAATAAATACCAACGATGACGAAAACTCTTTAAAGGAATTTACGAAAATTAATGATTGTATGTTATTAGGTAGAATACAGGATAAATATCTAAATATGTATAACGAAAAGGTGACTGACATAGTGATCTATCAACGCACAGCCCAAACCGCTGGACGAATCGGGCTGAAATTTAGCATGCAGGTAGATGTTATGACGTAGGCATCCGCTAAGAAAGGATTTTGATTAAATCAACCCTCAAGGATCTAAAATAAGTGATGAAACTTTGTCAATTTTAAACCGATTGGGCTGAGATTTTGCATGCATAAAGGTACTATGACGTAGGCCGTAGACGTAGTCCCCTATGAAAGGATTTTGATAAATTCCACCCCTAAGGGGATAAATTAGGGGATGAAAGTTTGTATGAAACTTTGTCAAGTTTAAATCGATCGGTCTGAGACTTTGCATGCATAAAGCTACTACTATGACATAGGCATCTTCCACCCCTAAAGGGATAAATTAACGCGAGCAAAGCCGCGGGCAAAAGCTACTATACATATAATAAATAAAAATAAAAGACCACACACATATTGTAATTGTGGGCATAAAAACAACACATCTCAAACCCATGACTTATCTATCCTAAGACAAGTAGACAACAAAAAATTCTAAATAATTAGAATATATATATACGTATGTAACCTACGTTCCAATAGAGTAACAAGTTAAAAAACATAAAAATAATTTTATTATACTATTATTTTAATTCATCATTCTTTTATTTAGAATAATTTAGTGTATAATTCAATTAAAGTTATTTTGTTAATTTTGTTCTGCCACCCAAATGCAAGAAAAAGAAGAAATTAATGACACTATTTGATCGATATGTTAAGTAGTGAAATTAAACTAGTCAAAGCAACATATGAAAGGAACTAGTAATATTATTTTAGATATACAATAATTTATTGCAAATATATATATACAATGATTATAATATTTTAATAAACATACATTTGCACCCAACACCCTTCCACACTTACATATACACACACACACACACACACACCCACACACACACACACACACACAGTCTTTTACAGTACAAACAGAAACAAATTCTTAATATAATAATAAATAACCCTAGAAGAGCGTGATCTCCTATCACAAGTGTTTAATTATGCTTACAAGGAGATCCCAGCCCCGGCTTAAGGAAATATATAAATAAGAATAAGTGATCGTTGTAATGTAAAAAAAAAAAATAATTGTAAAACATCTATGTCAATGAAATAAATTATTATTATAAATTATAAATATACTCACAGCCATATTATATGGTATAATGATGACATACAATACAGCCATTATAAAACGCACTGTACACCAAAGTTTCAGAAAAATGCCATGTGGAGTAATACATCCAGGTATAAAAAAATATCGAATGTACCTGAAACATTATATTAATTAATATTAATTATTATATTATATAATAAGATTTAATATTAATTCAATTAATAAAATATTCATCAAATTCTACTCGTCATTTTAAACATAAAAACCCTGTACCATGAGTCTTTACTCCTCCATAACTTAAATCAGTATTATAACTGTGTATAATAGCATGTAATTAATTACATATAACTTATGTATTCTTTATCTATCTTAAATATATGCTTATTTTAGAAATGTTTGTTGCTTACAATGTTTTCATGGCTTGAATCAAGATCGTCAAATGTCAACTGTAGTGAAACATTAACAAATAGATAGACATACACACTTTATAATATTATAACAATATTAGTAACTAGTATGTATGAATTCCACCATGTCATATGATCGACAATATTTTGTGCTGTATTTCTGGTGATGTAAAAGCAAAGCAAAACTCCTTGTACAACAAATGATTATACTTCACAAAATTAAATAAAGATGATGCCGGCATTGCGAACAAAAGTACGCTTACATACACAGTATGTATATAACAAGCATGCGTGAATGTCTTTATGTGGTTTTGTGTATGCTGTCAGTGTTGTTTTAAGATAAGTATATAAATTTTATAATGTACATGATAAAATCTAGAGAATATTTAGTTTCCATTTCATTATAATTTATTTCTCCAGGTACCACATTTCTATATAATTAAGATATATAAAAATTCTGCAATAATAATATTTTAGGTATTTCTTTGATCATTTGTATACTGTTTTTCTTTATAATTTTACTACATACAAACTTGGTAATTTGTTTTTAGTTAAAAAGTTATAAGCTAAGAATATAAAATTAATCTTATCACAATTATTGTAATACAGTTATATGAATATTAATAGCAAACTGCCTCAAAATGAATTCCATTTTATTTCCTTAGATAAAGTCTGAGCTTACACCGTAATATAAAAGAAAAGCTTGTAATTTATTATCTACTAAGCCAATTTTCTTAAAACCAGTATTCTTTTTTTTTCAATGTTTAACTTTCATTGCCATCTATTACGGGCTAAAAATCTGACACTTCAATTACGAAATCTAAACCTCAAAGATAATAGAAATGAAATGAGAATACAAACTGCGTATTTAAACTTAGAATAGCTAAAATAACAGTAAAATTTTAAACGAAGTATTAAAAATTAATAGACAAACAAATTTTTAATTACCCAAAAGAATACAGTAGTTGTTTTTATTTTAATCGTACCTTGCACATCATATTTTGAGCAAAAATATTTAAGTAAAGTTAAAAATTGTTTATTTCTCTGATATGCAAATTCGTTTATTTCAATTGTAATGTTTAAAAAGTTATGAAATGAAATATAACATTTGTTTTCATATTTCTAGGTAAATTGAATTTTATCCGCTTACGTATACCGCTTATATATTTTACCGCTCAAATAATTCATAGAGTACAGCTAGACTATAATTGGGAGAGAGAACTTTGTAGCAATGAAATTGTACTGAAAAATTTAATTAAATATTTAGTAATAACTGTATCTTAATTATACAAAATAAATCTCACTTATTTTAGATGTTAAGAAACTTGCTTTGTAAGGTGTGTTTCTGTTGTAAGCTGATATATGGCAATAAAATTACAGCGTATGAAGATATAATATTCCTACGTAGTGACAACTAATGTGCATGGTGTTGTTCTTATGTAATATCGACACCAACATATCTAATATAGTTATCATTTATTCGGTTTATTCTGCCATTCTAAAAAAGAAACACAATCATCCTTATCATCATTATCATTAGTAAGTCGATATCATAGCTTTTTTATTGTATAATACAACTCTGATCAACAACATGTTACATAATAATATATATATATGTACGTTAACGTTTATAAGCGACTAAAATCCTACTAAAATATTTTTGATTTGATATGATTTGATTTGACTAGTCTATTCATATTCCCACTGTTTAGGCTGAATGAGATTTATATCAAACAATAGCGAGTCTCAATTTTATCTGCGTAGTATTCGCCTCAACGCCAAACTAATACCTAGTCACGAACAACAATAAAGCCCTTCATCGTGTTTACATAAGTTTGATCATTTTCTTATCCATTATTTACCTCATGACTCCCAACTTTTCGAATGTCTTCACATACTGCGCCTTCTCGTCGCGGCCGCTTAACACCACAAAACTTTCCTTTATCTCTTGCTACAACAACACAGAGTTTTGAAACAAGTCGGCTAACAAAACTTAGCAAAGTATTAATTTGATCACCATTTACCGCAATTCTGTTTATTTTGGCGTCCATCCGACCCGTTAGCGGCTTCGCGTCCTCGTACCGTTCAGCGTTATTGCGAAGTACGGGATCCTCTAACACCTACAAAAAGCAAACTGTTTTATTATAAAACAATATACGAAATATATTTTGATTGTCGCAGACTTTTAAGTGATATTAAGTATATAATTAGGTATATTTGTATCATATACAAAATAATTATACGATAGAATGGTAGTATTATTGAATTTTTATTTTTACCTACGTATAACACCAATTTAGGGAGTTATTGTATTATTACTAATCTAAACTATACAAGACATTGTAGAATTGTACAAAATTATTACAAGCGCATCAAAGGTACATAATATTACAAATAGATTTGATATTGTAATCAACATATGGGTTTATTAATCAAATGGATTGAGGAAGAAACATTTATTTATTTATTTTGAAACTTGTAATTAATTGTTAATATTACCTGTTATACCGTAAAAACCATGTTACTTAGTTATATTTATAGCTAGAATAGCAAGTACTGATGACCTACCTGATGATAATTGGTAACCGTCGCCTAAAATGGACAGCACGGCGGACTTCTCATTATCTATTATATATCATATAGTTTTGCCATTTCAGAGGGCTGAAGGAACAGGGAAGAGATTCATATAGTATAACACCACCTTATCTCACCTTTCAATCAAAACATATCTCACAGAAAGCTGCGCTTGAACTAGGTGAGATTGAGTAACTTTTTGTAAAATCTAAGTGGATTTACATCGGTACATAATTAAATTTTATTTAAATATATTTTGAGTATGTAACTAACTATCTTTGTCGTTGCTTATTTTGCCACAAATATTTTAGCTAATGTGTTTGCTCTGTACGCGCATTAGTTACGTCGGCTACAGCAATATTAAATGCATGAATCACCTTGATAATGGGATGACTAATATCTGGGAAGGTGCCCCAGCACTGCACCAGTGCACTGTATTCTACGTGCAGTAATATACAATTTGTCGTTGTCACCACAGTGTATACCTGCAGAATAAATGTAAAGTAGGTACACACTATAATTATATTTCATACAGAGAGCTACATCTCATAATCAATTTAATTAAGACTATTAATACTGCTGCGAGTGAAAAGTAGAAGTTTTTACACAAAGTATTCAAACGAAATTACATTTTAAAAACGTACTAACAAAACTATTCTTACTGATACGATTAATATGGAATAATAATAATATTAATAAGTAAGTCTAAAATTCAAATTAAATTTAAGTAAGAATAAGATTTGTGTTTAATTAATATATTAAAAATCTTTAAACTTTTTTCGTAATTAATAACAATTAATGTTATTGTACTGTCGTTATTTAAATCATAAAATTTGTAGCTCTCACAATAGCAGTGCAATATAGAAAGCACCACCCAGTCCTAAGTAAGCAACTAACTGTAAAACTAGCTATGTGAGTAACTGACAATATACTAAAATACATTTTGTTCTGAAAATACATAATTTAAAATGCTTACTTTGGGCAAACCGAAGAGCATTTCCACAACGCCAAAGTGACTTCCGGGACCTATAAACTTATCTATTTTCGCTCGGTGATTCAGTAAATTGCAGTGTCCCTATAATATTTCACTCACTTTAGTAATAAATTACTCTTAATTATTTATAAGCTAACAAGTAACAACTTTTAGAGCTGTGCTTCTACATTTTAATTTAATAGTAGGTATATTAAGTGAGACCTACGGTTTGATCATCCCGCGTTAATCGTTATAGTATTTATATATATAAATATTATGTAATTATACAATATTCTCTTACATGTGCTAAGGGCAAAATATTAAATATTTATATTATAAATACGAAAGTACGTTTGTCTGTCTGTTTCTTAACTTGAAACGATAAAACGGATTTCAATGTAAGACATGAACATAGTTTGCATGATGAGGATAAGAGACGAGTACAAGCCATCGTATATGTTCAAAAAGTTGCTACTTTTTCATAAAAGCAGGGGAACTTTTGAAACATAATATTCATTGCCTTAGTGATATTGATTTCCGAGAATAATACCAAAATCCTCTTGGGACGTTTCATTACAAAGTTACTTTATAGTGGGTTCTATTGAAATATAAATTTACATTACACAACAATACTATTAAGACGGTACCTTTTGCAAAATATACATATCGCGTCCAATATCGCCAGCGTGCTGCACTATTTCATTGTCGGGTAACACTATTGTTTTACTATTTGATGCCACAGTTTGTAAAAAATCGCGGTTGCAGCCCTTAAACAACAACACACAACTAGGTGAAGTATTGTTATACTTTTAGATAGGTATATGTACAAAAACGAGTGCCAGTGAGTGACCAAATATATTTATCGATATCTACTGCAGTAGGATAAGTGTATCACATATTTAATACCTGAAATATAGGACAGAATAATAAAGTTTCAACCATTTCAATACACAAAACCTCTTGCTGGATATTTGAAGACACGTCTTTGAATATTTCATCTGCTGATACGGCATTATTGTAATACCTAAAAAATGTTAAAATTTTAATACCTAATCATTCATGTTACATTTAAATAAATTAGATTTCCTCGGAAAGGTTTTGGGCTTAAACATGCAATATTATCACTAACAATTCAATACATAACAAAACAAAATTGAGGAAAACATATTAAAGTATTTATGATAATTTTTCAGTAATGTCAATAAATAGTCTATTATTTAGAGATTAAAAGAAACAAGAATCGAATAACCTCTACTAATGTACTTTAATTACTACTCTACTAATGGCTTTACTATCTCCTTTCTTTATAATAGTTAATATTATAAAGGATGAAAGAGTACATTAGACTACGTAATATGTAGGATAGAATCCTCCTAATATGAACCCGCATCCTGCAGAGAAACACTAGTTAGTTGTTGTTTGAATTAACGTTGTATGTGATGAGTCAACTGCAATTTTGCAAATTACTAGGTTTGTAGTGTATACTATATCATCACTTCAACCAACTATCTGTTTGGAGAATCAACAATATCTAGTAGGCATTCAAAATACCATGATGCCATAGCATTAAGTAATTTTATGACTAGGAATATCTAGTAGGCATTCAAAATACCATGATGCCATAGCATTAAGTAATTTTATGACTAGGAATATCTAGTAGGCATTCAAAATACCATGATGCCATAGCATTAAGTAATTTTGTGACTAGGAATATCTAGTAGGCATTCAAAATACCATGTTGCCATAGCATTAAGTAATTTTGTGACTAGGAATATCTAGTAGGCATTCAAAATACCATGATGCCATAGCATTAAGTAATTTTGTGACTAGGAATATCTAGTAGGCATTCAAAATACCATGATGCCATAGCATTAAGTAATTTTATGACTAGGAATATCTAGTAGGCATTCAAAATACCATGATGCCATAGCATTAAGTAATTTTGTGACTAGGAATATCTAGTAGGCATTCAAAATACCATGATGCCATAGCATTAAGTAATTTTGTGACTAGGAATATCTAGTAGGCATTCAAAATACCATGATGCCATAGCATTAAGTAATTTTGTGACTATGAATATCTAGTAGGCATTCAAAATACCATGTTGCCATAGCATTAAGTAATTTTGTGACTAGGAATATCTAGTAGGCATTCAAAATACCATGATGCCATAGCATTAAGTAATTTTGTGACTAGGAATATCTAGTAGGCATTCAAAATACCATGATGCCATAGCATTAAGTAATTTTATGACTAGGAATATCTAGTAGGCATTCAAAATACCATGATGCCATAGCATTAAGTAATTTTGTGACTAGGAATATCTAGTAGGCATTCAAAATACCATGATGCCATAGCATTAAGTAATTTTGTGACTAGGAATATCTAGTAGGCATTCAAAATACCATGATGCCATAGCATTAAGTAATTTTATGACTAGGAATATCTAGTAGGCATTCAAAATACCATGATGCCATAGCATTAAGTAATTTTGTGACTAGGAATATCTAGTAGGCATTCAAAATACCATGTTGCCATAGCATTAAGTAATTTTGTGACTAGGAATATCTAGTAGGCATTCAAAATACCATGTTGCCATAGCATTAAGTAATTTTGTGACTAGGAATATCTAGTAGGCATTCAAAATACCATAATGCCATAGCATTAAGTAATTTTGTGACTAGGAATATCTAGTAGGCATTCAAAATACCATGATGCCATAGCATTAAGTAATTTTGTGACTAGGAATATCTAGTAGGCATTCAAAATACCATGATGCCATAGCATTAAGTAATTTTATGACTAGGAATATCTAGTAGGCATTCAAAATACCATGATGCCATAGCATTAAGTAATTTTGTGACTAGGAATATCTAGTAGGCATTCAAAATACCATGATGCCATAGCATTAAGTAATTTTGTGACTAGGAATATCTAGTAGGCATTCAAAATACCATGATGCCATAGCATTAAGTAATTTTGTGACTAGGAATATCTAGTAGGCATTCAAAATACCATGATGGCATAGCATTAAGTAATTTTGTGACTAGGAATATCTAGTAGGCATTCAAAATACCATGATGCCATAGCATTAAGTAATTTTGTGACTAGGAATATCTAGTAGGCATTCAAAATACCATGATGCCATAGCATTAAGTAATTTTGTGACTAGGAATATCTAGTAGGCATTTAAAATACCATGATGCCATAGCATTAAGTAATTTTGTGACTAGGAATATCTAGTAGGCATTCAAAATACCATGTTGCCATAGTATTAAGTAATTTTGAATATCGATCTCTGCTGTAACTGCTTGCATAGAGTACATTATCTATAGGACTACGCTTGACGTCTTGTATTTATTTGCGCGTTGTGTTTTGCTTTTCAAAACCTATATTTGAAAAGCAAAATATAATTTATCAACTAAATGTTCAAATATCAGTAGAATCTCTTCTGACATATTATTACAAGTAAATATATAAATATTATATACAAGTAAATACATGAATTGTATTTATAAAATTCGGTATAATTTTGCATTAATGAACTCACCATTGTACACAGAAAAACTTTTTCACTCGGGCCTTTATTTTGCCACTAACATGGTTAACTGTCAAAAAGTAAAACAGTTCTCTCATAGATCCCTGTGAAAATGCACAAACAAAATGATGAATTATCCTATTTACGATTCTAGTTGTAACTACTGCTGTAACATCGGGAAATTAATTAGGAATATTATTTATTACGGACATATCTTTAATAAAAATATAATTTAAATTTACTTGTTTTATTTGTACAGTACTCGTACCTAAATACAAATTAAGGAATTGAACGCAAATAATTGTGTTGTCATTGAAGAACGTCGTTGTTTTGATTGATTTTGGGTTCATTAATACTGAATTTACAAGTACTTTCTTCCAGAAGTCGTTGTTAAAGACCTACTTAGTATCTACACTCAAAATACCGAAAAATTTTAAATTAAGTATTTATGTACTTAATAATCTGTGAATAGGTACAAGAGTTTTTATATTCAGTATGTGCGTAGGTAGGCTTGTAGGTACTGTATGTTGTTGTTAGGTTAAGGTAGATTGGATTTGGAAAATTATTTCCTGCCCATGATAAGGAGAAGGAAAATTGATAGAATTTATTGGCACAAAAGCAAAGTAATTTATGTTTGTTTATCGGTTATGTCATCAAAAGGTAATGACAGAACGTATTTCATCAAAATTATAATGGCATAAAATTAATAAATTGTATACAACATAAATTGTTATAAAATATACGTTGTATCACAATTTATGAGTGACAGTTTAAATTCGTCTATGAATGAGTGGTACTCGAGGTTAGTAATGATTGATCTGACTGATTAATAAATAGACTGCCGAAACTTTTGATTATAAAAATGTATATGATATGTTTGTAGATCTATAGTATAAGATTTAGACCCAGTTCAGAATCCAGAGTCTCAAAGGTATAACTGTTGTTTTACTTAATTGCCAGTTCAGATATAATTATAGATATATTAGGACTTGCGCATGGAATTACTCATACAATCTAATTATTACGACTAAAATGAAAAAAAGAAACATAGGAAAAGGGAACCGCAGACAAAACTGCGGAAAAAGATACTACAACGTCAGTAATAGACATGACCTGTAGAGGGTTGCCAACCTTAAAATACTTGTACGAAACAAAGAAATATAAAATCTGTTAAAATTTCCTATCGCTCTCTAACCTCGTACATAAACCGATTTTTGTTGGTCAAAATCTCGTATAAACTTCTACGTGATTGAAAATGTCCTCGTATCAAAAATGACATTTATATACAAGGATCCTCGTCAGGCCCTAAACACGTATCTTGATTATAACAGAAATTAACGGTGTAGTTAGAGTATCCTGAACAGGTTTTATTCAAATCAATAACTATTTATTTAAATTTTGAAACACACTTCGAAGTATCGTAGGTAATACCTACTTACCTTAAATTTTAATTTCCTTTGAGTTGCTAGTAAATAGATACTACACATTTTTGCCGTGTAAAAGCAACATAAATAAGTTCCCAAGACAAATAGAACCACCACCTAAAGATAAATACAATTTGTTATTACTAGTTCCTTAAGTAAAACTTATAACCGGTAATTTTCCGGAAAAAAAATAACATTATCCGATGCGCCATTACCGAATTCGTACTAATTTAAATATAGGGTTGTCATTTTGTATACGTAATATCAGAATACTAAATACATCCACAGAAACCGAGTAAACCTTTTCCAATTTTCTCCACGAATTCTCATATCAAGATTTAAATGGATGGTAATATTGATAAAATAATATAAATAGTCGTTTGTTCATTATTATAATAATAAAACAACCTTTAAAGCAAAATATCTCATTTTATACTTAGCCTGAATCTGATTTTCTCACATATTAGTCCAAACATGTGGCAGCCCTATTCAAGGAGCGACATAAGCCTTCTTAAAACCACCCGCTTTAAATATTTAACTCGCCCTAGAGAGCGATAGGTACATAATATAGCACCATAAGCTTTGCCCTTGACGACACATTTTTTACAATAGTAATACCTACGTTTTTATAATATAAGTAAAAATAAATAATTACTACTTTAAGTTATAAGTTGTATAGGTACATTAATACCCACTTAAGAAGAGACCATAAATCTTTAGGATTTTAAACATGTAATTGCTCAATATAAGAATCCTACAATTGTACAATAACAATTTTATTATTAAATTGTAATACCAAATAAACTGATGATTCACCTAAAGATAAGTGATAACTGTTCACTCTTTACAGGGACAGCAACACTACATTAAGTTATGCAACATACCAAATAAACTGACGATTCACCTAAAGATAAGTGGTAACTGTTCACTCTAGACAGGGACAACACTACGACATTAAGTTATGCAACGCCCGTGATACCAACCATGCGTTGCCATTCCGGAGAACTAAGATATCACGCCTCTTATCCTGTAATTTCACTCACCTTTCAATCAAAACACACACACACACAGCAGCTGAAAAAAGTAGACAGGTATCCAATTAACTCATTCTTGCAACAACTACCACGGGAATTCTAAAACAAAAAATAAATAAAAATATTTAAATCATAATATAAAATTCCTAATAACAACCAATAATAATCAAGTATATTGAAACGATTAATTAATTTTTAGTATTGTAAAGACGAGGACCATTTCTATCTATTGATAGAAATGGTCGATTCTGCTTATTCCATCACATTCCACCACAAATTCATTATCAAAATTTAACCTAAATTTCTCATACATCTATATTATATTCTAAAAGATTTGAATCAATAATGTATATTCATGACCGTCTCTGATTGTTATGTAAGCATAATACATAAACAATGCTACATTGTTTACCTTACTGTTTGTTGACATGAGCAACAGAATCAACCAGTCTACAATATAATAGAACCTACTGTGCCTGCAGTTTCAACCACATTAAATTTATAGTCTATGTGTTTTTCTGGTGTATAACCTATATTACTGTAAATCCGTTCAGTAGTTTTTGTGTAAAAGAGTAACAAATATCCATCTATCCATATATGCAGCCATTCTCACAAATTTTCGTGTTTATAATATTAGTAAGAGTAGCAAGCGTACATACCACTAACAAGTCGGCAGTGCCTGGCGCTAAATCAGAAGTACCTGTGCCAGTGAACACAGATGTACCGAACGAAAATGATGATAAAATTGGTTTCTCGTGCCTAGCATCATTCGTCATGAACACTTTCGTCTCCCAGAATATCAACTGGGTTAGCCATGACTTCTGCAATATAAATGTTTCAATCACTTTCTATATTAAAGATATTCAATGAAGTATGTACTAAAGCTAATGTTAAAAACTTTTCAAATAATAAAACAGCAACAAACAAAAATATTATAGAGATATAGAGGGAGAGAGAGAGAGAGTCGTACATATGCCTGTTACGCTATATTTTTTTCTCTTTAAATAAAATCATCAGTGTATACAAAATCATACTAGAATAATGCTAGTTAATACGTCCAGTGAATTTATAGTTTAAATCTAATTATTTAGTGTCTATAAACAGATTAATCTGTGATTGTTAGAAATACATTCACATTGGGCTGCGGCAACGTACAGTCATGTGTAAACACAGATATGGTGGTAAGTATTAGTGTCCCAACTGCATACACAAATACCGCTTTGTTATGGACGATAATAATAAACTCAGGCTGCTATAGCTTCAAATAGTTTATTATTTTTACCAACTAGGTTAAATATGTATTTATTGCAATATAATTTTAATACAAAGAAATTAATTTTTGTCTGAATAACACGACGCGATTTCTGTTTTCCCGCCCAAAACATCGGCACAGAGTATTAAAATTAGCGCAGTGAGTCGTCATCATGGCTGTATGTTGTTTATGCTGTATCATATGTAGATTTTATTATTTAATATTATCTTATCTGTGATTTTATCAACCTAATTTCCGTACTAAATCCTATCTAATCTTACTAAATGATTTAGAACTCCTACATGAAATTGACATCGAAAAGTTTGAAGGATCGATTGATATAGGAGTAAGCTTGCAATGATTCAATAGCTTGTGCATCTTTCAAGTACAGTAAATATATTAAGACAATAGTTTAGTTAGTATACATTCACGCTTCGTCTATTTCTACCTGTATCAATGAGTATAGTACTACAAAAAAATATATACCTCAAGTGGTTTTCATTGGCCAAATTTAAGAAGCGGAACCATTGGTTAATTTACGGTTACGATTTTTTCGTGAATAGTGTGTGAGCCGTATTCTGATTTACATTATGGATTTGCAGTTACACATAACTTGTATTATTTGCAGAGAGGGGCATGGTTTAGTGGTCGTGTCTATATGTAATATTCACAGCGAAATGTGACGATGTTGGATATTGTATAACATGTGCCTACATCACAATGACAAAAGTTCATTCCTCAAAACTATCTACCCCATATTACGTGTACAGTCAAAAACATTATTTTCATAAACTATTGTAATCATGAACTTAAATTTAAAAAGAACTTAATTGATAATTCATTCATTAAGACCACATTTAATATCGTTCAATGAAATAATTGCTAAGCCATTGATCTTAGAAAAGAATCATTGCTGAAAACTAAGAATCAGAAAGGTCAATAACATAACATTAGTAAGCACTTTTAAATAGTACTTATAAACTTCAAATATGTTTCCTCCACTTTCCTCTCGTGTTAGACAGAGCAGAATGTAATAGAAATAAGTACAATAATTAATATTTATATTATTTCTATAGGTTACACAGAAATAACAATAGTTTATTATAATACCTTCGATAAACACTTTTGATTTTATCATTGTTTGTAAGATGAGATCAGAAGCCATTTAAAACTCTAATAAAATGTGACAAAAGTTAGTACTTACTTCATGACATAATTTTCTTGGGCAAGCGAATATATACAGTAAACATCCGGACCAATAGCAGAGTATGATTACTATTAAACAGTATTTTAACAAACATAGCATCTGAAAATAATTACAATATAGCATACGCGTATATATGTATACTTTATATTCAGTGTATGTATAATAGATAATCACAATAATACCCACGACAATTCACACAGTGCCATCTAATCCCAAGCTAAACCAAGTAACGGAAACACAATTGAAGGAAATACTATTTTTATTTTTTTTGAAATTCATACAAAAACAACACAAACAAGTATATTCATAAATACAAATGTTTGTAATTTGTGAAGAATCGAACACGTGACCATCAGGGCTGCTTGCTAAACCGCTAGACTACTGTAAGCTCGAACAAAAAATCTGAAAATATTGCTAGTTACTACCTCAAGTGATATATATATAGTAATGCAGCAAATGTACAATAAGTGCAACGAGAATAAGTCAACAGTTACCTTAGCATTGCTATTAAAATTTTTCTCCCATCTACTGACGTAGTTCCAAATGTGCCAAACTTGAAGCGTAGGGAGTAGTTTAACAACTTGTCCAGCAATAGAATCGGCTTGAGGATCCAAAGTATTAACAAATATATATACAGGGAACACCGATAATATGTCTAAGTAAAAACCTACAGTCGCCATTTTGACTTCCGCTATCTCTTTAATAGTTTCTTTTCGTATATTCTACAAATTAAAGTAATAACTGTATCCTGTAGCGTTGCATGTGTGAATTTTAATATTAACAACTATTACTTGTGGTAATTTGATATAAGATCAATTAATGAAATTTCATTCTAATCCGGCCAGTAGCGTTTGCTTGAAAGAGTAAGGAAAACCTTTTCCTGATCTCATGCTTTAAAATTGGTAGGAAGTACGACTCGAATATAGTAATAATGTAATTCAGTGGGTGTTTTATTGACACATATTATCCTATCTGTAGTCTTCAATTCGTCTTTCTTCTCAATTGATCTGAGTGATCAAGTGATGTGTCTTCTTCCTAACCTCAATTAATTTATTTGTACACAAAAAAAATACGTAATGATATAGATAATTAAAGACTTCTGCACCTAAACAGGTAGACCTAGCTATATTTTATACCGAATTCTTAAGCCGATGTATTTTCCTTTCTACATTATTTGAAATCCAGTTTGGGGTTTCAGCCAATTCACTAAAAGGGTAACTAAAGCTGCCGAAAGTAGTATTTACTTAAAAAATCTTTTTACTTTATACTTTTCGCCGTTTTTGTACACAGCAACGAACAATTTTAATATTCTGTCTGCCTTCAATTCTAGAAATTAAATTTCTTTTAGAATGTTTTCGTTATGTAGAATCCCGAGTGGTAAATAAACAAGTTCTCATAAATTATGTGGCGCAATTCAAGATATTTAGTACGTTTTTATGTTATTTTAGTCTTAAGTATACTTAGGTCAGTTATAAATATATTTTACCGTCAATTAAATTAAGATACATTTTAATATAACGTAAAAACATCGAGGTTAAAGTATAGAAGGTTTTTATTTCTTATTCTACTTAATGGGTATATTCATGCTTCTATACTAATATTAATACAAAAGTTTGTCTATCTGATCGTTGCCTTGTCGCTACTAAAAGTCTGAACGAATCTTAATGAAGTTTGAGAGGAAGATAGATTATATCACGAGGTCAGACAAAGACTAATTTTCATCTCAAAAAAGACAAATGCAATTATACATAATTATATTCATTGAATGAATCTCTTCAATGTATACAACTAAGTTTGAAGTTGTAATCAATGTGTTGTTAATACACCAGATCACATTTCAATCGCGTTTTTTCTTAAAAATTCGACCAAACGGAATTTTTTTGAGTGGTAAACGAGGGTGACCTTTGATGAAATTTGGTCTCGATCGATTAAGTCATTTCAAAGGAGTATCGTTACAAAGAGTGTAAATCAATCGCTTGCGCTTCACGCTCCGCTCAATAAATTCAAATGTTAATTCCAAACGTACCTTATCCACTATCGCCGTTGTAAGTTGTATGTATATATTTAACAATAGACAAGTTAAAACAATAATATTAAAAACTATTTCCAAATTCGACTTATCTGTCTGTATAGCATAGTGTGGAGATAAAAAACACAAATATAGAATTATTATAAAATGTCCAATATCAAACATGTTGGTCTGAAAAAGAGAAGTTTACTAGTGGTAATTTATCACAATTACGAAAAATATTTTGTAGTACATCATATTTATTATTATTTCTATTTAACGTATTCTTAATTCTTGTTAGGAAGATTTGTAAATCATTAGACATAATTATATTATAGATATATTTATTATTTTACATTAACCAAAATTCAGTATAATAAATATATTTAGATTGAGTTTTGGTTAATGAAAAATATCTTTAATATAATAATAAAGACTATGTTGGGTATACATTAATAGCTACCTATAAAAGTTAAAATATATGTACATATATATTTGTTTATGAGTTATAAATTCATTTCTTGGGTATGAAAAAGATTCTTCTAATTTAACTCTATATTATAGTAGTATAGTAAGTAACTGAGAATATTATTTATATAGTATACAAATAATAATGAATACTTCTGAACGATACTTACAAAACTTGTATTTGGTTCTAATATAAAAGGAAAATTAGCTCTTATACATATTTTAGGCTTGTCAATGGTGGTTACATTACTTGACATTTGATAGAGTTCTAAGTATTCACTCGTAAATTTGTGTTGTCGAAGATTATTCTCGTCTGTAACAAATTATTCAAATATTATTACCTAAACTGAAATTCGTACAAATGAACAAGGCATTATAGGACTTATTACCCCTGTAATACATGTGAGAATCATCTACAAATGTCGGGTCTTCTTCCTCGATGCCGGCTAAATTATCCTTAAGCACTTTCATAGGTCTATAACGAGTTCGAATTAGTCTTGAATCACCCTTATCATATTGCGCTATAGCTCTCTAAAATTGAAGTGCAAATTAAGTCTCTGTTAACAAAACCGACGGGTCATTTTGGTTTAATGTATATATAAAGTGAATATATAACCTGCAAAAAAAGGTAAAGCTTTGAAAAGTTTAACAAGTGACTATAATTTTATATATAAATTTATTATGTTCGTTTTGAGATTTCCACATCATACCTACATTATTACTTTCGTAACTCTCGTAACATTATACTGAGTTTGTCCGATCTAAAAATAAATATACTACACCCCAAATATAATGTTACATTGATATTTTATTCAAATTCTGACAACCTTTAAATGTACTCGTATGAAGCCAGAATAATAATTGATCGTTTAAGATCACTATTAATAAATAATATATATATTATTCTGCGAAAACACAGAGTGTTTTAATATATTGAAGAAGTTTAAAAGTGCAACCCTACTGGCCGATATATTACATCTGGCCTATTGTTAGAATTCACATCATTATTGTAGAAAAAATCCGATATTTTAAAAATATATTAAAAGAAGGTAGTTTGTTTTTAGTACTAATGAAGTACCCAATGTAAGGATTATTACGAATATTGTAAATAGCGCCATCTAGTATTTATAGACCAACCTACTACACTGACTTTGGTCTATAAATACGGAGGTCGGTAGTTGAATAATCCTCTTTCGTTGCGTTTCGGTATTCAGTCGACGAGCGCAGAGCGTGCCAGTTGTGTTTTGGATATTAAAGTGAATTGTATTAGCAATGGGTTTATCCCGGTCTTAGTTGGGCCTGGGGGGAAGCTGCAGGTAGTGAAGGTGAGTGTTAATGCATTCCAAAAAGGGCCTTTTAAACCTACACCCGTGTCACAAGTCACGGACGCTACTTTGCGGTAGCCGGCTTCATAGCCTAAGTCGTCCATCATAATTAGTGCTTCTTACACTATACCAAAAAAGACCTATGATATACGCGATTAACTCTCCGGTCAAGGAAATACCGATATCAGAGCAAAAATTATTCCGAAATACGTAGGCTCGCTCCTGTCTCGTTGGATCCAAAATATGCCGAACGAAATATGAGCATTGAGCATATCAAGTTGTGTTAAATGTACACATAAACATCGACGGTTGACAATTCCTCTGACTAGCCCACATCTGGGATAAAGATCGTAACAGTATGTTTGTTATATACGTATGTTTAAGTATAATGAAATACGTAAACCGAAAATATACCTCTTTACGACGAGATTTCCAAAGCCTGTCCTCGATTATTTCACGTATACGCTGTAGCATAAAAGGATGCTCTTCCACAACTCGCATGAAATCCGTTCTATGTAACACCTATAATGGATATTAATATTCAGATCCAATATGAATATGAATCTGTATCAATTTTTTAATATAATTAATGGTTTTCACCTGAAGCTCCACGTAAGTAGCTGCTTTTACCGTTACCTTTGATGGTATTGAATAAAATAGACTTAATTCCCCTAGTACCTGGAAATAATTTTAATTTCAGCTCACTACATAAATGAATTTTGACTCAACATTTTTTCATGAATTTTGCATATCACTTTATTTTTAGTTAATAACAACTACTTATATAATTAGGGACCAACCTACTTTGTTAAAAGTCAGATTACTACTAACTTTAAAAACAAAAGTTCTTTTATTCAGTTCCAATTCCATTTATATACTTATATACGCTATTTTATATGATTCTTAGCAAAATAAGGACCTATTGTAATGAAAATCCTATATTTTTACAAATCATCGCATATAACACGCTATTATTTATGGAATAATGTAATTATATCAAATATTTTGATATAAATAAGAGACATACGTTCTCGTATATATAGTTATTCGTAATAATTTATCAACTACGTAGCGTATTTCCAAATAAATCTTTCTGCAAGTTGGCTATTTATTACTGGTCATCATGCTTCACAGAGCATTTTGCCTCGGTTATTTATTTGAAGTTCGTGAACCTCATTTGGAGAGGGTGCATTTCCACTTCCAAATATAATTATATTTATATTTTGAAATGGAATGAATCTCATTTACGCAACTCTGTATAAACTGTACATGTACACAAAAGGTATTGTTACCTAAAATGTAGACCTTACATTTTACAAACTAACAGTATGTCCTTATCTCCAGATTCCATAAAAATGATGAAACTGGACTGAGTATAAAAACAAACAATAAACTTAGTATTAATCTAATAACTTTTCAACGGTTCATCTATTGCCAAGTAACATTAATTCAATAGATGGTGTACACAATGACCGAAGAGGCTATCTTTGGAGGAAACTGTAGCCTTTGGGTTGACCTAACTAAAATTAAATACAATTTAAGAATGCAATACTAACTGTTCCCTCTTTTAAAGCAATCATTGGACTCTCGTCATCCTCGTCCGATAACATTTCTATAACTCCTTGTTTTATGAAGATCATGCCAGTCTTTACTACATCCTGGCTCCATACATTCTGTCCGGCCAGGTACAACTCATGTCTCATTAAAAGTGATATTTGACGCATAAATGCTTCATCTAATAAAAATTATAAATATTAAATACTGATATTATTTATAAAAAACAGAAAGTTATTGAAAGATTTCACTACAATAAATAACTACTAGTAAAACAAGGTAGTCGGATTAAATAAATCTTTCAACAATCTGAATTCACAAATACTTACTTACCCGTATTTCTGAATAGCAATGATTTTTGAAAGTATCTAACATTAATATCGAAAATCAGCTCCATTTGTAACGGAAGTGGTAATTTTTGTAAATGAGTAGAAGTCAGAATACCGTCTTTCATTAACCATAGTTGTCGCTTATAATTTTTGGCTTGCTCAATTAATAAAGATGGCGCTCCGCGGTTCTTGAGGTAAGCGATCATATGATGATACTCCAAAATAAACAAATAATATATTTATTGTATAATGAGAATGGTTATAAATAACTATCTACAATTCATTTGATTATAAGTACACACCGTAATTTATATTTGTTTGCCACCTATGTGGTATAAAAAATATATGAATGGGTCCTGTAACGAAATCTCTATTATGATTACAAGATAAAAGTCTGAAATACCTATTCTTATTTAGTTAATTAAAATTTTAGTAATTAAATTCAGTTTGTATAGAGGACTATACAAACTGAACTTAAACATGCTACTTTGTCAGTAGGACTGGAATCACAATAAAAAAATAACCTGTAATCACTATATTTGTCTCTACAGTTATGTACCTACAGTTTACATCAACCAAATCCTTTTTTACTACAATTTTGATTATTCTACTCCAATTCCTTTTTCTAGAAGTTGACTTTAAATTAATTTTCTGCATGGATACCTTAGTCTCGTCATTGTCAGCCGCCAAGCAACTTGTTTTATTAGATGTGTTTCGGTTGAAGGTTGAGATGATTCAATGAAATTACAGGATAAAGTGAATGATGATATAATCCCCTGAAATAGGAACGCATATGGACATTACGGGCGTCCAATAATAACGTGATGTCCATGATATTGTGATAAACGGTCAAGTTGTTTATCATTCTAATAAAAAGTCTGAAGATGTCAGTAATTTTAAAAGGTAAATATTGATTTTTTTAGTAATTTTATTCATAAATGTGTATTTATTTACCTGATCGACAAACACCGACTTACGACTATTGTCCAGTACTAACTCCCACGCCAATGTTCCTATGAATTGGTATCTTATAAACACGAAACCAATAAACATCAATACTGATGTCAACCACTTTTCTAGGTCACGCTACAAGCATAATAATAATATATTTAATTTATATATGACAGAAAATACATATTAGGCTGAAATTATATCGATAAAAGAACACAAAGTTTGAAATCATACTTATTAGTTAATTTTTTTTATACAAAAGGTATTTACTATCTTTCTTGTATTCTATGTCTATATGATATATATATGTTATATATATGATGATTTATTATATACTAGAATTACAAAATAATTGACTGTAATCCATTCTAATAATATAAATAAATAACAGATTATACACAGACAGACATCTGTCTGTCTGTTTATAACCTTTTCACAACTAAAGCGCTGAACGAATTTTAACGAAATATGCCTGTTACGAAGATAAAGATATGCTAATCTTTTATTTAGGATCGAGTGAAATGAATTTTAATTATGTTTGTGCAGACGAATTCAGGGACTTAAATAACATGTAGTTGTATTTATGGGTATATAAGGAAGTAAGTATATAAATCGCAACGCTGACAGAACCATAAATATTACAAGTGACAGTAGGACGTTACGACGGCGCTTGGTGTATTTATGCACTGGCTTTGGGGTTTCTGTAGCAGTAACATATTACACCAATTTTATAGTGACATTACAACACTGTGGGATGCAATAAATTTTGATTTTACTATTGCACATATTTAACAGCCAAAGGTAAAAAAAAATAGTACTGTTACTGTTGGCGACCGACCGCCGAACTCTTTTGATATTTTTATTATTTTTAAATTTATATTTTTGAAGAGTTCTTTTTATACGTCATGTTATTTGATATACTTCAATCTTTCTATCATTGTCTTTCTTATAGTTCGCAATTGCACGTATTAATATATTATTATTGCAAACTACGTGTTTTCATCATTCATATATTTTGGTCCTTTCGTCGCCGTAATACTGAAATTTCATACTTTTGGTTGTTTTCGCTGCCGTAAGTTGAAATTTATCGACCTAAATTATTTTCCAAGTTTTCACTTTCATATTGCATTACATTCTATCTTCTATCATTTCTATTTTCCGTCATAAATTTTCATTGTTTAATATGGTGGAAACACGTAGCAAAACCAATTCAGTTGCGAACCTAATGGCTGTAGAAGTCGGACGGCCGTATTACGATCGTTCCGAACAATCGCGCCGCGTATGGCCGGCTTCTACAACCACAGTTGAGGATGTTTCGGCATCATTGGCTAGAACAGTTGCACATACGGCGGACGCCTCCATTTCGGTACAAGCATCTTCTTGCTGTACCAAGCGTTCTAGCGACACCACTAGCTCATGTCGAGTCGATGCCGATATATCTCTCTCTCATAAGACAAAAAGCTGTTACAGAAACGAGCGATCGCGAATTTCGCGGTCGTCCGCGATTGTCCGCGCTCAGAAGCTCGCCGTCGAAGCAGAACTCCTGCGATGCAGAGTGGCACGGCAACGTGAACTCGTACGTCTACAGGCAGAACGCGAGCAGAAACTAGCGCGTTTGGAGTTCGAGGCTGAGCAGAGAGAGTTGGAAGCGAAGCTCGCCGCACTGGATGCCAAAGATAAGTCTGCACATCGTAGTTCTCGTCCTTCTATTCGCGATACTAAAAAACGTACCGCGACATGGGTTTCGGAACACAATGCAACCATGACCATGGTAACGCATGTGAACATACCTGGTAAGGAACCGACTGTCACCTTGGATGATATCCAAGGCACCCCATTACAGCCGGCCATCCTTTCCAACACGGTCCCGTCACATGTACCACATGTCAACCATGCAAACGAACTGAAACCTACACGTATCGTTGATGACGATAACTGCGCAACCTTAGTGCGACTTCCATCAGTTGAGCATCCACTAGCGAACCCGGCACCACAGCTTACTCACAAAATTAGTAGTAGTTCTAACTATTCAAAAAAGCCCAACCAGAGTAGTTACGAGACAATTAAACGTAATTATTCCACAGCCGAAAACTTAATACGTTTATACAACGCTTTTCGGGGACCGGCGTACGAGATCGTGGCGTCACTCCTGCGGACCTCCCGAGAGCCTTGGGTCGTCATGAGCGCATTGGAGCAGGCATACGTCCGATCAGAAGATATCACCATCCGCGTGATCGGGAAGTTACGCAAAACCCCTGAGTTAAGTTCTCCTGAATCACGTAATTTTCAATCTGTGACAAAAATAAAGTTGCTATCTCAACTTTCATTACTAAATGAAAACAAGCAACTACTTTATAATGTTGTACAAGATTACCTTATTAAGTCTCACAGTACTGTCAGACCAACCCATGAGCTTTGCCACAAAGATAGCATGCATTGGACAAAATACTTATATTTCAATGCCTTAAAACTATATGACCCATATGGCTTATTAAAGCTAATTGTCATTTCGGGTCGTATTGTATTGCAGAAAATGTGTGAAATAAGTATTTACAGGGACTCTTCTAAGATATCTCATAATTATAATTTTGAGAACAAAGAGAACTGGTTCACTCAATCACAAAGTGCCACCAACATTCCGCGTGCCAGTATAATTCCGCGTTGGTTACAAATTATACAAGCATTGGTTACAAATTACAAACCTGCGTTGCTTATGACTTATGACTATGGTTTTGACTGTACCTCCCTTGTAAGTACTGAGGTATGCATCGTACTACAACAACCACATTTTATACCTCAATTGAGATGGTTGGCTGGCGCACTATTCTTTTTAGTACCATCACTTTTTGGGTTGACTGAAAACGCCAGCAACGCAGAGGAGACCGCGCTAGGATTAAAACCGGAACTAGTGGGGTTGTTCTCCTGCGTCCCCTTACAGGATCCTCCATGGCTCCGCGTTCTCCAAGGTGTAGGTCTATTTCGGCTTAAACTGTCTCGGCCAATAGCCTTAAATTCTAAATTGTTTTTAGATGGCACCACATTTCCCTCACGACTTTGTGCAAGAGACGTCACAGAAGCCGAGAAGATGCTGCCTCAACGAGCTGGAATAGACACCTATCCTGAAGAGCTGAAAGCCGCAGCCCGTGCCCAGCAACAGTTAAATTACAACACGCACCAGTACTGGAGGAAAGCGGGCTATCACAAGTAAATTATTACGAATACACCATTACTCATACTGCACTGCCCTTAGTCTACACAGTAACCAGTGTCAACGTGTGACACGATTATACAGCGCCGACGATGGAAAGGCGGGTTTATCAAGCCAACAGCTTTAGTTTACCTAGCCCTACAGCTTGATCACAGCAAAAGGCAACACACGTATAACTCAGTTACGTTGATGCTATCGCTATCACCGTACATCAACGTTACCTCAGTACGAAACCAGCGACTTTTTTTTGTTGTTTGTTGCGACTGGCTGGTACACGACCAAATAAGGGTGTTGCGCCCGGCTGGCTGACTTAGCTGACTTCTGGGCACGGTAGCCGCACAAATACTTGCCAATATCTCGCCCAAGAGGACTACACAAAGTGACGTCGTCGACTGCAATAGAGGGCGATGTGGTGCTTATAGCTAGGTTAATTTTAATTACAATAGAAGCGCGGCCGGTCACCACCGGTAGTTAGTGTTCCACTGGGGGCCCGGTATGTTGGCGACCGACCGCCGAACTCTTTTGATATTTTTATTATTTTTAAATTTATATTTTTGAAGAGTTCTTTTTATACGTCATGTTATTTGATATACTTCAATCTTTCTATCATTGTCTTTCGTATAGTTCGCAATTGCACATATTAATATATTATTATTGCAAACTACGTGTTTTCATCATTTAGACACCCATACAGTCCACCGATCCGTTACAGTTACATTTGTCGAACCAAATAATGATAATTCGATTCCTCGCATCATATAAACATTTCTATGTATGATTGTTTATATTGGACTGGCTGTTTTATATATATGTATATCATCATCATCTGCTTCTTCCTTATCCCATTTATTTGGGGTCGGCGTAATATGTTTTTGTCTTCCATTCATTCGTGTCCGCAATCATCTCGTTATTTACTTCCTTTCTTGCCATCTTTCACATCTTTTTTCAACCTTCCTCATTTTGTACATGTATGACTTATATATTACAAAATTTATAACAAGATCTGCTCAGCTTAAGATAGTGTGAATTATCCAGGGTCATATAACGCTACTTTTATAAATGATACTTACTAAAGGAAAGGTATCTCCAAATATAACATTAAAGAAGCGACAAGCACTATAGTACCAACAGGAAATATAACTGTAAATAAATAGCAAATGTTGTACTTATTCTCATTGCAATATTCAGATTATTATCTACTGAAACTTACACTGCAAGTAAAAAAACATACTCTTATGCATAAAAATAAGTCAAAATGTCTTCATTTCTTTTTATTTTGCTTGTTCTTTAAAATAATATTCAAATAAATCATTTGGACTGAAGTCAGTGGAAAGATAGAGATAGAGATATTAATACAACATACTTATCAAATTTCAATTTATGCGAGTTGACATGATCTGGATATCCTAAGTGGTACCATTTCTTGCTCCACTCTACAGATCTGTGTATAGAATACCACATACAAGTACTGGCATGCAATACCAGTAAGACAACAGTAATATGTTCGACCACATATAATGTTTTTCTAGTACTTCTAATCTGTAAATTTCATTGAAAGGATTAATTGTGAATGTATGTCATAAATAAAGTATTAAAAAAAATAAGAATTGGTGTCGCATTTTGTATTCTATTTTTAATCATCAAATCTAAATCTAAATTTAAATATAAATAGTTATTTTTAAAGCGTTAATTTGAAGATAATTTGTAATGTTTTCAGCATCCACCCAGGATGATGATGAATGTAATGAATGAAGGATGACTTCAAATATATTCATCTGATAAAAATGAAAGATGTTTGTTCTTACAGTCGCATAAAAAATGTTAGTACCATAAGCGATATAATAATTGTTACTAAACGCATTGCGCTTAAATTAATTTCATTAATTTAAATAATAACTTGTTCGAGGTAATTACATAAATATATAATTTCAAACCACCACAATCAGGGATAAATGCATTTAGATTGAGATACATTACTATCATTAAACTTACAGTTTCATTAATCAGCTGAAAATACGTGAATAGTCTGTAAATGCGACATATGCCCAACCAACGGCCGAGTAGTACATAATGCTCACAGCCCACTCTGTTGTTAACTGTAATTAATGTACTGTTTAATTCACATTTTAGTTTTGTTCAACAGAATATATTTAATATCAACAAAATTAAGTTTTTTTTTCAAAACAAAGTACATTATAACGATTTACTAAATAGAATTACAGATATGTGTATAAATAGATAAAATCTTTATTCACATCAATTCAGCCACATTTCATGTTTCATGCATTCAAGTAATAAATATAAACATATTATGTACCAGAGGGAGAATCAATGATTAATTTCCTCAAACGAGCAAAACATTGATTTTCAGTAGCTATTCGAAGGTGGTGCGAATTTGTGCAATGATATTCAAGCAATAACCTTAAACCTATCAGTGTATATTTAGCACTTTTTAACACACATACAATATAATTTAACTGTATAAAGAGTATGAATCGTATTAGAGTATAGTGAAAGATAAGTAAGCATACACAAAATACTGCAAAAGACTTGAATTAACAAATTATTTTAATAATAATAAAAATCTAAAACCGCAACTTGCAGGACCGAAAATTTGCAGCAAGTACATTCATCATCATTCATCCTAATGTAATTAAATAAATGACTAATAAACAAATCACTGTTAGCAACGATTTGCTATTATTATTTAATTTTCGTTTCGTCGTTCTTCCGTTCCGTTCAACAAGCTATTTTCGGTATGCAATAGAGAGTTATTATTATTATTATACTAGCTGTCCCAGCAAACGTTGTTTTGCCTTATAAATTAAAATCGCTATTAAAAAATAGGGGTTGATGCTAGAAGGGTAAAAATTTAGGGTTGTATGTATTTTTTGAAATCCTATCTAAATAATAGAATGCAAGTTGTCGAAATAAATGGTGTAAAGTCTGAGGGAACTAGTATTAAAATGGGTGTTCCTCAGGGCTCTATTTTAGGTCCTTTCTTATTTTTAGTTTACATAAATGATCTTCCTTATATGGTAGAAAAGATAGCTGACATAGTTCTGTTTGCTGATGATACTTCATTAGTATTCAAAGTCAATCGACATATTGATGATTTGGACGAAGTAAACGGTACTCTTTCTTATGTTTTAAAATGGTTTACGGCTAATAATATGTTACTAAATGCAAATAAAACTAAATGTATCAAATTTACTCTCCCCAATGTAAGGCCGGTAGATTCAAAAATCACGTTGGACAATAAACCTATTAATTTTGTGGATGATACTGTATTTCTAGGTATCACATTAGATTTCAAGTTGCAATGGGGTGCTCATATTACTAAATTAGCGAGTCGACTTAGTTCTGCCGCTTATGCGGTAAGAAGAATTAGACAATTAACAGACGTGGCAACGGCTAAACTTGTGTACTTTAGCTATTTCCATAGCATTATGTCGTATGGTATTTTGTTATGGGGCAAAGCAGCTGATATAAATACAATATTTATTTTACAAAAGAGGGCCATTCGCTCCATTTATAGCATGGGTTCCAGGGAGTCTTTGCGAGAGTGCTTTAAGGAATCAAATATCCTCACCGTTGCTTCTCAATATATTTATGAAAACATCATGTATGCCAGAAGGAATATAGACAGTTTCAAAAGAGTTAGTGATTGCACTAATAAAAGCTTACGTAACAATAACAAACTGATTTTACCTAAATGTCGTTTGGCTAAAGTTAGTAATTCGTTTTATGGCCATTGCGTAAGGTTTTACAATAAAATACCAGAGTCTGTTTTAAATCTGCCAGAAAAAAGATTTAAATGTCAAATAAAACACTTCCTTTGCAGAAAAGCTTACTATAAAATTGAAGAATTCGTTAACGATAATAATGTTTTTGTAGAAAAATTTTAAATACATAGCACTGACAATATTATCTGATTACACTAATAATGAGTGCGTAGCGATTTCTATGTTGATTGTCGCATGCCTCTTACTTGTTACACTGTAATTATTTATATAAAAAAAAAACATCTATTAAAAAGAGCAACACACAAGTTTCTTGCTTATTCTTCTTGTGATGAATCTGCATTCCGAATGAGTGGTAGAATCAAAATATGACTATTCAAAAGTGCTTGTAATGAGTTTATTTGAATAAAGATTATTTCTATTTATATTTCTATTTCTATTTCAATCCTAAATATTAATAAAATGAAAATAAAATATTATATCTAAAAAATAAGATTAAATATTATTATTAGGGGTGGATATTGCTTACCGCATAGGGGTATGAAAAATAGATAGTAGCCGATTCTCAGACCTACTGAATATGCATGTAAAATTTCAAAAAAATCTATCAAGCCATTTGGGAGGAGTATGGTAACTAACATTGTGACACAAGAATTTTATATATAAAAAAATTAAAAATGTCAAATAACTTACATGTCGTAGACAGTGGTAAACAACTTAGTATATCGTAAACCAATAGTATATAATTTCTTCTATAACTTCGTATATATATCCGCACCACTGGCCAAAATGCATGAAGGCAGTGTACCAACACATCAGCAATGAAGAACAGTTCGGTCAGAATGATTGTTGCATTTAGGAAAATGTATGATTTATCGAAATAATATCCAAGTAGCAAGTGCAATACGAACTTGTAGACTATTATTAAACATACTATTGTCTAAAAATATAGTAATTTGATTATAATATCGACTTATAAAATTGTATTTAAGATAACTAAACTATTTACAGATACACATTTAATGTATAAATACTGAAGTTAATTCGTGATATTAGCAAAGCCATAATCTGTAAATTTTCAGAAAAAAATGGTCTTATTCCATTGTTTGTAAAGGAGACATATATATAGTAATATATGTATAGTAATATGAATACCTTTTCACATAAAGACTATATGAGTATATCGAAATAGGTCGCATATGCATACATATAAATCATAATAAAATAAATTACAAGTACTTATGTATGATCTAATCACGTAGATTGTTCAAATTATATCTCTTCTTAATGTTTTATTGACTATTTTTTTTATAAAATATTAACATTATAAAACGTACTTAAATATATTCAAATTCTTAGATTATGAAGACAAACAAGATTCAAAATACCGGGAATTGAAAAGGAGCATTATATTTCCTTGCTTGGAGTGGAGGGGATTAAAATATATCTCATCCTATTATCATTTTATTCCATATATTATATTCATACTGGATATGCTATCAAGTGTGTCTAATCGGATCTTTATATCCCCGAATCAGGCCTCACAATGGCGGTTGACTATTATTGGTATTCTAAAGGATTCCGTATTACTTTCAATGTTGATTCATTTTTATTGTATTCACCATCGTGGATAGTTGCATATTTCTCATAACGTAATTTATTGTAAATTACTGCCTAAGATCATAAACAAGAAGTGGTCCGTCGGATGGTAAGTGGTGATAAACGTTTATACGCAAAAACAACACCACGGATATCACGTATCATGCGTTGCCATTGGAGTACAACGATGTCATGTCTTCTTACCCTGTAAATTCACTATCGTATCTAACCATTTAACCGAAACATATCTTGCAAAGCAAGCTAATTAGAACCTGAAAAGGTGAGACAAAAGTGAAAATACCTATAATAATATGCTTATTATTAGTCAGTTGTCTATTTTTTGTCTGTAAGCTTTTGTTTAAATTGACTTCATCAATAGTTCACAGTAAGAAAATACATATTTACTTATTAAAATGAATGGATATACACGGAGTATACACTTTAACTTTGTACAAATATTATGTACGGTAATTAGGCGTATTTTCAACGAATATGAACTGACCTGAAACCACATATTCCACGGCAGTAACATGACGGCTAACGTGATTTCCCTCATTTTACCTTCCCACAGGAATTTTCCCCGAAATCCACCTGTTCTCTGTCCAATCTGAGGCAAATTCAGGCGGCTAGCAGCATTTGTTCCCATTGTGCTATGATTTAAAAATATTATTCAATTAGTATTCACATATACCAACTGGAGTTTAAGATAGAACTTATATATCTATGTACATAAAATACTCAAAACCAAGATGATATTAGCAAGAGGGATTACTAAAAAAATTGTCTACTGACTTTGAATAAATCACCGAATCAACATCATGTAAAATTTATAAAACATGTATATCAGATCAGATCTTCAAAGACAGACAATCATTGTGGTTAGTACAATAATGTATAACATGGAGCCATATTTTATGATAGTAGAATTAGTTTGACTGTACCGCAAAAAAAAAAATTACGTCTAAACATTGATCAAAGTGATGTTAGTAATAAACAATTACCTATATAAAATATTGACATGATGTATAGCATAATTTGCAATTCTCAACTTTATTAGGGTAAGCCTGGCTTTACGACTTACCACGACTGTACAGTTATACAAAGCAGTTCTCATCCTATAAACCTTCTTCGTTATTATTTATGTATTCGTTATATATATAATACTAAAGAAGCAGTAATTCTTCTAACTAAAATTTGCAGTCATTTTAATTTAAACAAAATAATAAAAAAAAAACTAAAACAATTAAAATTGTGCGAACTGTTAAACTTCTAGAACTGTAAACTTAAAGAATCTCGTATTACTACCTAATGACGCTAATATGACAATTAATTTATTTTCCTAAATAAAAATAAATCCAGAAATATCAAATGTTCATCTGATTTCTAAATTGGGTTAACTAAATAAAAATTACGGTGTGAGAGTGTGTACATTATGATATAGTTGTTATAGATACTATTATCGAGCGCGTTTCGATAATAGTAACAAACTGGTCCGCCCATAATTTACATTAACCCGCTTTTCTTAAGTTTACCCATGATCAAGGTCGATGTAACGATACAGAAATATAGGAAAAACAATAATACGGAGGGAGGAAATAGCTAGCAATTGAGAATGGTGGCTCTATGTAGCACCATATCTGGATGACCTCTAAGCAGCATCACTGGAAATCATTGTTCTTAATTTCTAGTTGTTTCACAATAAATAAACTCACGTAATTCACCTTCAACTTATAATATTACAATGGTGTATATCTACCAATATAACAGTATTCCATTAAAAGAAAATAACAAATAAGGTCCAAGATTTATTTCTAATATATTAATATTACATGTAAATATTAATCACGTCAAATTAAAATATATATACATATACATATATAATATAAGTAGGTTCGTAACATAAGCTACATAACAGAGTCGTAAATCACGATTTACCTAATAAAACCCGCCCTTATCTCATGTTACTTACATCCCATAACATGTTAGGTACATTATTTGTCGTGTAGTACACGCGCGTCGATACCGTAACGGATTTTGCCCAATTTCATTCTTTATGAACGACATGAATTAAATTATATCCATTGTTTCGGTTCCCGAGAGGACAAAGTACTAGGTACTGCGTGACCGCGTATCCGCGACGCGGGGAGATGGTGTGGATATAAATTGTGTCATTTGTACACAAAATCGGTTTGGTAAAGACATTTTTATTGGACATACAGATATCTAATGGAAATGTTTCATAAATGGAAGTCGCTCTATAATAAATATTTATATTAAAAATATATATTTTGTTTATAAAACCTTTATACCTTTTGCTATTAATAAATGAATCATAAATATTAATAAGTCTTATTCCTTTATTTGGCTATACCGGGAACTGTAACTTTAATATACTTTAGCACACGGTGGTACTTCCGATGGTCGCGGGTTGGATTCCTTGGCCGATACAAGCATTTGTATTCATGAGTATGGTTGTTTGAATCGATTTGGGTGTGTTTACAAAAATAATGTTTTCATATATTTCTGTCAGTTGTATTGTACCTATAACACAAGCTCTGCTTAGTTTGGGACTACGTGGCGCTGTGCGAATTGTCCGAAACTATGATTATTACGTAAAATTTGGGCACCCATCATTCGGTCATCGAAGTACTTATATCAGCTACATCTTCAAAATGTTTTTATGTTATGATCGGTAATAGAAAAATCTTAGATGGTAAATATTTGTATAGAAATTACTTGATGTTTAATACCTATTTCCGATGGTCCCCAAGGATGGCTCACTGACACTTCTAAGCATGTTGTAATTATTTTTATATTATTTAACTAAATAAAAATATTTCTACAATTATTTAGGTTCATCAGAAATAGATTATTTTTCTTAATAATCAAATCATAGCCCTCTTGTTATTTTTGATGTTTGGTAGGATACCGTAGAATTTAGTAAGTTTATTCCAACTTTAAATTTAGTTAGTATTCATATTAATATTATAAATGGAAAGATGTGTCTGTCTGTCTATCTGCATTTTCACTGAAAATATCACGAAGACGGAAGATAAGCTATAGAAATATTAGCTTTTACATAAAAAATTGCAGTTGCGGAACCACATGATTTCGTTTCACAGTTTTCTAAGATTGTCAGACGGCTTAAATGTTATTAATGTCCAGCGAAAATAAAAATTGATGATGCTACAGTTAGGGGTGGAAAATACAAGTTCACCTTTAAATAGTACTGGTAAAGTTTCTGAAAATCGAGCAGACATCGAGCCTTTCCCATGTACCGCTTACAATACTATCGCGTACTGTCTTTACACTTAACAGTTGAAGAATTTGAATCATTTTTCTATTAGATTATCGAAATGTCAGCAAGACGTAATCAAATTCAAATACAAATTCAAATTCAAAAATCATTTATTCATAGAACATTTTAGCCTCTTATGAACATCAAGTTTTTACATTATAATTTTTTTCCCTACCGTCCAGTTCGGTATATAGATCCAATTGAGAAGAACTGGCAAGAAACTTAATTGAATTACTTTTTTTTTAAATCCAGTTTATTTACAATACATAGGTATTTATATAGGTGTCTAAGTCTAACATTAAATGAAAATCCCGAACATAAAAACTATTGCCATGCACGCTCGTCATTCAAGTAATCGTTTAGTGAGTATGCTCAGTAAATATGATTTAACAGATGTTTTGAATTTATTTAAGGGTAATTCCAATATATCCTTTGGTATCTTATTGTAAAATTTTATACCTATTCCCATAAAAGACCTATTGACTTTTTCTAAACGATACTTGGGGACAGCAAGTTTGTCCTTAAATCTAGTATTAAATAAATATTATGAATCAGATCAGCAATTGACAAACCTTCATACCTACTGCTTATGATATTTTATATGTATTAAAAAATAGTTAGAACAAAAGATGTTTTATTTAAATCGGCATCAGGACTGCTTCTTAAATGAGACAAATATGTAAAATAAAAGTTTTTCCTATAAAACGTCTAAGTAGCAAGTATATATTATTTTTTTATCTGTGGTAGCAATATACTTTATGGAGGTACTAATGTAATTATATATACTTTATGTTTTTAGGTACCATTTGGGTATCCCAATAAGCAGCCGAAATGAAATACCATATTTTGTGGATATTGAAATTTTACTGCGAGCCTCACGCGAGAACAGTCGTAAAACCCTGGTGCTGGCGCAAAAGCGGAGAGAAATCATGAGTAGAAGCGACGTAAACCAACGGCGCGGAAAGTGTCAGTCTTCAGCGACGGAATTGCTATAAAACGATACAGCCATAACCCGAAATCACTTTGAAAGCGGAAATGACGCGTGAAAACAGTTGCGTTGCTAATCCGATTAATAACTAAGGTACGTATTTTCGGATGAGTACCTATATTTATTTACTACTTATACCTATATAAGTATATACTAAATATGCTTTTTCATTAGAGAATCAAGACCACAGTGGTATAATTGTTCAGGACACTTTTAACAAAAACTAAATAGTTCAGATAAATTATTATCATATGAGATTCGTACTGCATAAAATTGACTTTATACAATATTTATTATTCTACTTTAAAACAAAGAGTTTACGATTGACTGATTACAATAATTTAATTACTTCTTACGTCTTAAGTCTTTTTTACTTATTTGTAATTCATATACTAGTTTAGTAGATGATTGAGAATCACTAGACGTGTTTAATTTATGTGTCGGTCATTTAAATCTGTGTCGATTTACATATCTGTTGATGAATACCAAAAACCAATAATAATCGTTTATAATTTATAAACTTTTATAGTAACATATGCATGTGATGCCACGAGATACAGCTACATTATAACAAATCTGCATAGGTATATAGAAAAAAGCGAACTAACAAAACTCGGAGGCGATTGTGACGGAACGAAAATGGTAACCGGGGTCGGGCACGTCGGTGCGGCTCTCATATAAAATGTAAATATGCGACCAAACTGTAGCACGAAAGAATAATTCATATTCAGGAGGCGAGTGGGTGGCCATCCATTTTGCATGGTTATTTTGGTGAAATCCCCGCGTATCCTGCTCTCATGTAATTAAGAGATTAAAAGATCAGCGTGCGGGCGGAGCGAACTCAACGGGATTTTTATGAAAACATTTTTCATTACATGTTGTATCACTGTACATTGGGGGTATACACAGCCGGCGTGAGAACTGCTGAATGTAGAGCAGCAGTTGAATACCTTTCATACTACTTCTTTAATATGTATTACGTTTATGATATAGTTTTAAATAAGTATATTTGTAAGGATTTTTTTATTTAGATCAATTTTTATTTTTTACCATACCCTTACATTTTACAAACAGACAGACAATTGAGATAGCACGTGATCTCGGCTTGAAATTTGATCGTACGTCGATCGAACACTTTTATAATTTTGTCTTTGAATTATATGGAAAGCTTAACTTAATATTGCAACATACAATCTAGTGATTATTTGCTCAGTGATATGCAATGACATGACTGAGAGGCTGCGAAAATGAGGTCAATCCTCAACCATTACGGTTCATATTATATAGAATATAAATTTAATGTATATATTATATAAAATCCTTTGTTACTGTATTTATTTGTAATAATGACCAAATAATTTATTCTAAAATATCCGTGCCTATGTGTTAGTGAATTTATTATATTTTAAAAACAAGCTTGAGGTTTTGCGAATGCCAGGTAAATCACTTGTCAATTTCCTATCATGTGGTCCTCTATTTAATATTGCGAGTATATAGACTAGTCTATATATTACAGTAGTATAAAATAACTTATCTAGAAACTATACTTTATAGGCAATTGGTCTAATCAAGAATTGAACTTGTGACCATTAGTATTCACTATACTACAGGTATCATAAGCGTAAAACAGACATGATTGCCGCCTACATTCTTTAATTCTGTATTAATTAAATTCATGAAGATCTGAAGCTGCATAGCTCTTATAAACTATGCTAGCGAGATTACTCCAATATTAAAATTTAATATGTTACACTTTTGTTCTATTTTACACTTTAATCATAGAATGAACGCAAGAGCAAATTATGCATGTTGATAAACCTTAATTATCTAATTATTACACATTACTAATATATTTTAGATAATTACAGTATTGTAATCAGTAGTAGTATTTTGTTTAAATAATTTATTATACTATTTAAAATAATAAATGTATATTTCCTTATATATTAATTAAATTTATTGAAAACCCCATTATTGAGTTAAAATTCTGATTTTCTTTTAGTCATTTCTCGAGGAATAGATTATTTAACATTATAGTTTTCGGTAATTTTAGGTAATTGAAATCTATATATACTTCTATCGAAGAATGTTCTACATTCTATATTTTGTATGTATATTAATTACAGATAAATTATACTTTCTCTTTGAATATAATTGAATATGTTAATTATAGTTTTCTGGGAACTCTTAATTTTATGAATTGTATACAAATATTTAATTCATATATTTATCATAAGTCAAGATAAGTTTTCAACGAAATAGTTACATGTTCCATACTCAGATTTAGTGTAATAAAAGACATTAAAAATAACAGTTTTAAACGGACTTCCAAAAGAATTAAGTTCCCATTTTATAGTACTATAACATTCAAAATAACGATCATAGAAAGAAAATTGCAACCCTAAAAACTAAATAAGTACACAACGTTTATGACAAAATTGAGCGTTATACAATGTCGCGCGCGTAAAATACAGCAAGAAATCTATTAAGTGGTCTCGTTACTGAGAGTTGATATGTTTGGGCACCGTGCCGCAATGTAACAGTACATAGCGATAATGTCGCTTCGTTTTATTACAGATAGTTTAGATGCGACCCCGTTATTACAACGTAATGAAATGGGTAACACATTGTAGGTTTACTGACATTGCTGTTTTCTTGAATAAAAATGTGTCTACATTTTAATCTTTCGAGTTTTTTTTCTGTATTTATATTCATTTCTTTCCAACAAATTCATATAAGAAAAATAGATAATAAGTTAGCAAATCTGTATAGCCAGCATATATGGGAGTTGTAACAAATACATAAAATGTATTTAGATGTTAATTATTGTTTATTTATTACTCGAAATTCGGTATTAGGTATAAATGCCTAGATACGAAATTCCTCGTTAAAAGCAATAGGAAACAACTCTCTCAAAGCAAGTAATATCAATTATAAAATAAATTGTCTAGGAAATATATATTCATATATGTGTAGCAGTTACTATCTATATACCTACATTCTCTACAAAAACTGGGTACAATACATACAATAACATAGTTAGACGAATTTGCTTACTGAATCAAATAGTACGAAATTTAATTCGTTTTAGCATAAATATTCAGTATGTTTTTATTCACTATCTCTTACATGGTATCACTATTGTATAATATATTTCTATTAAGGGGGTCTTCCTATGTGATGGGTTGAAAAAATCGATTTTTTTTTTTTCATAAATTGCTCCCTTAACATGTCTAGAATACGGTAGTAAAGCGATTTTAGAAAATTCGAAGTCGTTTTAAAGATACAGCAGGTAAAAGAAAGAGCGGTTCGGAGCGGTGAGTTGGCAGTTAGAGACCGGGCCTATTGTGTACCGTCGGCTTTATACCTGGCCTCCCTTTTATTAATATATTTGTTTATACAAGTTTAGACACGTTTCTACAGACTTAAACAGAAATTTCTATTGTTATAATATTTTACCGAAGTTATACTTACTGATAAAGTTATCCAAGAAATTACAAAATTCTACGGATTAGCAAT